TGTGTGTACTTCTGGGCTGCGTGGATGAAAATTCAAGATTTCGAGCACCTGCTCCAGCGCTTCTGACTTGCTCACGTAACGCATGCGAAACGGGACCAGCATTTTGAACAAGACATCCTTGCTCCCGGTAGGGTGAATCCAACCCTCAGGCCAGGGTGGCTCAGTTTGGATGACCATGGGCACATGTACATACCCATAGGCTCCATAGTATTTCCTTTTGGGGATTACCATATAGGATTCTATATATGAACCCCAAAAAGAACTACTTTGGAGCCTCTAGGTAGAGTAGACAAGTAGGTACTCACAAGCCTAGCTCAGCGACTGAAGGCTTTACTTCTAGGTGTGCATGCGCCTCCGATTGCAACTAAATCCTACAGCCGACAAGCAAAGCCCTACAGAAGCCTAAAACCTATATTTTGCCGAAGATGAAGAGTACGAACCCGAAAGCCCAAACCCTACGAAAGCCTGCAACACACGACATTGCTATGCCTCGCGACTGGACTGGTCTTCGAATGTGGGCCTCGGCTTTTTGGTTCTGGGAGAGGCTTAGTAAACCCCCCTTGCCCCCACCCGCCACCCCTCGAACAACTTCAATCCGCAATAGTGGCTGCGCGTTTTGGCGCCCCCAAACTTCTTTGGGCCAAAATTGGTGGGGGGGGGGGGGGCGGGTCTACGGTGTTTGGGAGGGAGGTCTCTTGTGGCACTCTTCTGGGCCGTTTCCGGCTGGCTCTCTCTGCTACTTCCCACAAGCTTTGAAACATGAAAGCAGGATGGGAATTTAACACAATTGAGGGGTAGTTTAAGATTCTGTGCAGGCCGAGTTTACCTCTATTGGACGGGAATTTCCACTATTCTGTGCAGGACGAGTTTGGCTCGATTCATGGGACCATTATTTACTAATCAGGAGGTCAGTTTATTCGCGTAGCAGGGGTGTCGACGCATCATTGTTGTTACAGCAGGCTTCGCCATACTGTTCAGAACACGGACATGCTGTTGAGCACACCTGTCGTACTACTTGCTTTATATGGGAGTTTCCGAAAATAGGGGACCCTCATATAGTACCCTGAATAATAGGATCCTCATTATATTATAAGGACCCCAAAATCAGGTACCCTATTTTCGGAAACTTCAATATGACATGGCCTTCAGAGCAGCACCCTCTTCTGTCGTGTTTTCATCCTCAAAGCATGGTCAGAAACTTTATGAATTTCGGATTAGGGTTTAGGGTTTGAGGGTCCCAGTACCCAAATAGTAAGGTTTCAGGGTCCAAAAGAGATATGGATTTTGGGACTTACAACCCTGTATACTATTTGGGTACTTGGACCCTTTGGGCCGTTTATCATAGGAATAGTCTCTCTGCAGTTCAATGTAATGCTCTAAGAGGCTGGTGTTTTGGGGTTGTTTGCCTGTCGGCAGACCCGTCACTACCCGCAGCTTCACAATCCTGCGTTGGTGCAGCGCCCACAGAGCACGATACGCCCGAATCAGTGAACATGCCTTCAACATCCTTCGACTATCACGGGACCCCTATGTTGCCTTACAGTCAACCCAACTCAATACCCTCAACACCCAAACCTTAACCCCAACACTAAAGCCTGATTCTTCGACCCGAAACGCCCGGGTTCACGGCACAGGGATCCTAAGCCCTGTACCTTCAACCTTCAACCTAAAACCCTAAACCCCTAAGCCTTCAACCTTAAACCTACAACCCTAGACCCTAAACCCCTAAACCCCTAAACCTAAAACCCTAAACCTAAAACCCTAAACCTCAAACCCTAAACTCCCCTACTTAGAACCCTAAACCTCAAACCCTAAACACCCATGCCTTGAGCCTTCCACCCCGGGACCCGGGCGGTGGCAGAGCACGCGGAAGCCCGCCAGGGCAGCCAGGCATCCCGGCAAGCTCGGGAAGCCACTGTGGAGCTGCCTCGAAACCCTAAAGCCTAAACCCTAAATCCTAAGCCCTAAACCCAAAATCCTACCTCCTAAACCCTAAATCCTAAACCCTCCATCCTAAAACCCTAAACCCTAACCCCCCTTGAACGCTTGAACTGTGAGGCTGCCTGAAACCCTACCGAAAGTCTCCATTGTATAGTTCCTTTTTGGGTTATCTTGTGGGGTCCTAAATATGAAGTTGGTTAACCAGAGAAAGGAACCATAATGGAGACTATAGGTAATTCCCTACTTCCCTAAACACTTAAACGCTTAAACTTGAACCCTAAACCCCTACTCCTCGATGCTCTCTCATTTTTGCGATGTCTGTGTGAACTTGAAGGGCCTGTTGACTCTTCTCGGAAGATACATGTTAGGGTTTAGGGTTTAGGGTTTAGGGTAGCCCTGAATTTGGCGCGGGGCTTTCGGGTTTAGGACCGTTTAGGACTTAGAGTTTAGGGCGTGATTGCGGGTTTTTACAGCCTCAGAGTTTGGGGTCTGGGGTATATAAGGCTTCTTTACGGCTGAGGACTTGACTTAAATGTAGGGTCGTATAGGGTTTTGTAATCCACGACTATGCCTCGAAATCAAAACAGGAACGCCTCCATTGCTGACGGCCGCTTCCTCCTAAACACCAAAACCCTTATGAGAACCCTCAACTCAAAGATTGGAACAAGTTATGGGGGTCTATCGTAGAATGACTATGAACATGAAACCTGAACGCACGGTTATTCGCAACAATTCAGAAGTAAGTTTAGGCCCCTATAGTTATGCAAATTTAATCGAAAGCACATCCCAAGCAGGGCCGAGTAGGGACAGTCATCCGAGTCGCTTTCGGGCTGCTGGCGGCAAGCCCGTCACCGTGGTGCGTGCTTGGAGTTGGCCTGATAAGGGCTGCATTGGGAAAACTACAGGTTTTAATGGGTGTTGCAGGGCTTACAGCGAGACCCAGGAAGTTGGAACATCGGTTTAGGAGGATTGGTGTGACAATCCCTCATACTGCACTTTAAGAGCCTTAAGGGCAGGTTTTTGGCTTCTACGATTAGGGCTTGTGGAGTGTTTCAGGCTTTGGGTGTGGCGCTTTTGCGTTTTGCCGAGCAGACGTCCTCAACGACCCTGGTGCTTAGCATGCTAAAGCTTCAGAGGTTGAGGGCTCCAGGGTCTTGGGGCTGTTTACGGCCATTACTTGGAGGCCCAGAGGACTTAGTAAGTAGGTTCTTAATGGGGTTATAATTGGGGTAACTCCATTTAGGGTACTTATCACCCTACATATAACCTGCTTACCAAGTCCCCTGACCCTCTAAGTAAAGCTTAAGCACAGAGCCCAATACCCGCTAAGAAACAGGCCTGAAGTTGTCGAGAACTTTCGCGACTATGCATCTATTATGACTACACTGAATGGAGCACAAACCGTTCCCAGCCTTAGCAGTGTGTTGTTCGGTAGGACAAACTTCAATCCTAGAACTGTACAGAACTTCAACCCGGACACACACACACACACACATACACACACACACACACACACACACACACACACACACACACACACACACACACACCACAACATGCCCTACGAAACACCACCCAAAACCAAGAAACATCCGCAATGGCAAGGCGCTACAAGACAATCCCTGCCTGCAGGTGGCCGAGGCAATCTTTGGCCGCGGCTCAGAGCAGGAGATGGATCCATGGCAGACGGTACTTGAAGGTTCATGGCTCCCCGAAGAGCCCGATGCGCTTCAAGCGAGGAATATTCTTGAATCACGTAGGGCTTCTTGTTCAGAAACGTTTCTCCGTGTCTTAGTTAGTTAGGATATGTTTGCTGGGTTTTCTGGGTACACAGACATCCCCCGCACCGCAAACTTAAAACCCAATATCAAAACGGATCACCACTTGGATGATCCCACATGTGTACGTATTGAAATATGCACTGATGTGTCGGTATGTTACCATTCCTTGATTTCTATTGATTCATGTTCGCTGCTTTGCCCATGTTCTTCTACACACACTTGTTGTGTGAATATGCAGAATGATGCTATGTGATTTCAGCTTCTGCGTTTTGGTGCCATCCCTAGTCTTCCAACGATTCCTGCCTCCTTCTGCCAAGCCAAGGCACAAGCCCAGCAAGGACTAGTGACTATTGAGGGTCTGTAGGGGTTCCTTTACAGGAACTACAGAGGTTCCTAGACAGATCTAGCATAATTGAGGGGTTTACCTAAGTCTCCAATGTAGTTCCTTTTTTTTGGTTTAACCAATCTTGTATTAAGGATCCTAAAAGGTAACCCCAAAAAGGAACTACAATGGAGATTATAGGTAGGGCTTCAGCACTTTTTTCCGGTTCAAGCTTCTGGGATCTTCGTCTTTCCTGGAGGTGAGGGTCTATGGTTTCCAATGCCGGGAATATTCGCGGCTCAGGGTTCAGGGGTGGGGTTTCTATATGAGGAATTACTATTATGATTGGGGAAGTATCCCCCAAAGCAGTACCTACCAATAGTCTCTGTTTCTTTTTGGGGTTACCTTCTAGGATCCTTAATATAAAACTGGTTAAACCAAAAAAAGAACTACAATGGAGACTATAGGCATGGTCTCCAATGCCGGGAATTGTCGGAGGCGTGGGGTGCATATAGGCTTATGGGACGTTAAGGCTGTAGCGCCTCAATGGCTTACTGAAGAAGGGCCCTGCCTCCAGGCAGAAAATAATTGCAGACACGGCAGATTCACACATCTGCAATTCTGGTTTCCGGCATAGCTGAGTAACATCCGTAAGGACACTTAATCTCATTTAATCTTAAGTTTAATTCGCTGAGAACGAACGCAAGTGCTGTCAAGGTAGGCTATGTTTGGCATCATGAAAAGCAGGAAAAGGAGCTTTGTGCTACCTATAGTCTCCATTGTGGTTCCATTTTTTGGTTTAACCAATTGTATATTGAGGATCCGAAAAGGTAGCCCCCAAAAAGGAACTACAATGGAGACTATAGGTAGAGTTTTACGGAGTCGGGCTTCGGGCTCAGGAATCCGCACTTTTCCGGTGCAAACGAAGGGAGCATCGCTTGATGCTCTCCGCAGCCTCACGCTGCAGTCTCATCTTCGTCCTTCAACGTGGCAGCTGTGGGCTTTGGGTCTTTGAAGCTGCAATTCCGCAATCGACAAGGCACAAATGAAGGGACATCTGATATAACGTAGGGAAACTGATTAGTTTCAAAAAACGAAAGCGGGGCTGTGACATGGGCTCTGAGCGGTATGGTTACTACTGGGATGCTGAACCCAAGGTGTCTGAGTCATGTTCTTACATCATCTGCGATGTTCGCCTCCATTCCGACGTCGTGGTGCGAAAGCTGCCTTAGAGCAGATAACAAGCGGCTGCATCATGAAACACACACACACATATATATATACATATATATACACATATACGGACATAGGTATAGATATACACATACTTATGTTTCTGTATTGGTCTATGTTGTATGTTATAATACCTTGCGTTGTTACACTCTAGTGTATTGAACTATACTATATTGTCTCAACTTCAACTCGGATCGCATATGTAGTATCCTAGCTGTCCGAAATAAAACTGAGCTGCATGTTCTCAAGAACCCTAGACTTTGGCTTTTGAAGTTGACATATGGCAAAATCCGTACTCTGGAACAAAAGAACATCCGTCTTCACAGATCCATTATAGCAACCCTTATAGACCCCTTTTAAAGGAACCTTATTCCAATTATTATAACTCCTTACAATGGAACTATAGAACATCCGTCTTTTGCCCATGCGCATTGCATTGCCTCGTGATCCCGTTCTGAGGCTGCGACTCCAGCTGCGCATCGAAGTCCTCTGCGATTTAATAGTCAGCCTAAACTCTAGGATGTATAACTATATGTATACAAGTATATTTATAACTATAAACATAAAGTATAAATATCAACTGTAAATATATATATATATATACATATATATATATATATATATATTAACAGATTAGGCTAGGATTCTTCCTTAACCAAACGAAGCCTTAAAGTCCCCATAAACCGAAGTCTGAAAAGAGTTAAAGAGCAACAGTACTTCCAGAAGTCTCGCTCAGTGGGTCGATCCATAGCACAGGGGCCTAAATAGTTACTATATTGCTAATACCATTATTGAGGGCTCCTTATTCTAATTGTAGTATACTGCGCCCAAAAACCCTATTCGATAGTAACTTGCAGAAGCGGGCCTGCAATCGGATGGCCAAGTCGCGGATGACACCGCGCAGTTGCTGTCGGCAGCGCCGTTCCTTCAAGGCTTCACTTACTTTCAGCGGTTAGGTCTTATCGAGCCGCCCTAGCTTGTCTTAGTTCCCTTTGGAACCCTTCATTAGAACCCTACATAGACCTGTACTGTACGAGTCGGCCTTCTGGCAACCCTTTATAGCAGATTACAGCAGTTCTTAGGAACCTCGAAAGCCCTCAAGCACTAAAGCCCTAACTCCAAACGCAAAACCATCCAAAAACCATCTGAACTCTGAAGAGATCCTTTATAGGAAGCCTTAGCATTCCTCATAGTGGAAGCCCTAAACCCTCATCCCAAAAGCCCCGAACCGTAAACCCCCAAAACCCTAAACCCTAAAGTGCTAAAGAGCAAAACCAGGAATCCTACCAAAAGAAACCCCCAAAGCCCTAGACTTGCCCTCAACCCTACAGTAGAAGCCAGAAAGTTGGAATATCATTATCGTAACCCCTTTAAGGAAAATTATAGGGGATCCTACCATTAATTCATATTCCAACTTTCTGGAGTTCCCTTTAAACCACTACATCCGAAACCAAAGGAAACCCTAAGAGCCTTCAGAAGAAACCTTTAAGCCCCAAACCCTAGACCCCTTAAGCCCAAACCCTAAACCCCTTAACCCTAAACTGGAAGGAAACCCTAAAGACCTTTAGAAGAAACCTCTAAACCCCAAACCCTAAACTCCTTAACCCTAAACCCAAAGGAAGCCCTAAAGAACTTTGGAAGACATCGCCTACTTTGGGGCCCTATACTACTAAGGATACTTTACAATAAGAACCCCCAGTAAGGGGGGTCTGGGTTAGGACCCTTTGGGAAGAACTTTAGAAGAAATCCCTAATCCCTAAACCCTAAACCCTAAACCCAAAGGAAGCCCTAAACCCTAAACCTTAGAAGAAATGGCCTGCTTCAGCTCGGAAGCCGCCGACCGAAGGGCGCAAGAGGCCTTTAACAGCTGCTCCTCGCAATCCTTGGTCTGGTTTAGGGTTTAGGGGTTTAGGGTTTAAGGTTTACCCAGAGGCTCCATAGTAGTTCCGTTTTGGGGTTCATGTTCAGAATTTTATAGGGTTTAGGGTTCTAGGGTATAGGGCTATGGTTTAGGGTTCAGGATTTGTTTTAATTTTATAGGGTTAGGGTTTTGGGTTTTGGGTTTAGGGTTTAGGGTATACCCAGAGGCTCCATAGTAGTTCCGTTTTGGGGTTCATATTAAGAATCCTACAAGTTTGTAAGGTAACCCCAAAAAGGAACTACTATGGATCCTATGGGTAAAATTTAGGATTTGTTTTATAGGGCTAGGGTTTCATATGGGGTCATATTTTGAGATTGTTTTATGGGTTTAGGGTACTAGGGTATAAGGCTAGGGTTTAGAATTTGTTCAATAGGGTTAGGGTTTCATATGGGGTAAACTTTTGAGGTTGCTTTATAGGGTTTAGGGTTCTAGGGTATAGGGTTGGGGTTGAGGGTTATCAAGGCAATACTTGAGGATTTGTTCAAGGTTCCTGGCAGGATTTTAGTCCTTCAAATGTGGTTTGAATATGGTTAGGGTTCAGGGATTAGGCTTATTCTGGGGCTTATTGTGGCATTTGTTGGGTGACGGTTCAGGGTTTGGGGTCATTGTAGGATTCTATGTTGATTGAGCTTTTCTAGAACATATTTGTTGAGTCTCTAGCTATTGCCCCAAGGGTCCAAGTATCTTTTTATCATATACTCTCCAAAAATCCAACCTACATAGCTACCATCCTAAAAATGAGTACCGAATATTGGGTCCTTTGGACCCTTGGGGTAGGGCCTACAGCTTTAAGGGTCAAGCGTTTAGGGAACATTGAGCACTGTGTGAATAGAACCGAAGCTCCAGCGGGGGCGGGGTGCCAGGTTTGTAACGTGCTCTTGGTATGCTTGGTTGTAGAAGTTTTCATAAAACTTGAACGGGTGTCCTTCTGGATTTTGTAGAGTCTAAACCTGTTTGAACCGATTCAAGATTGTAAACAAAAACTTCTATGGGTATTTTCCAGGGTCTATCTGAGCTTTAACACTGTTTCGTCAAGGGTGAAACAAGTTCCATAAGGTTTTCCATCTTCAGTTGTCCGTGACGTCTTCCTGGGCTTTACAGTGATGCAGCACGATGCAGGACGGTAGGAGCGTGATTAGTTCAGATCTGTCGCATATTGTCATACAGAACTATAGTTAAATAGTTGCTTCGATGGCAATGACCAGCGGGATACAGCGACGCGTTCCCTGTGTGTGGTTGCTGGTCTCAGACACTGTGTGCCACCCACCACAGCAAACACTGAGTAGAATTAGCTAGCCCCTTGCGGGGTAAATACTGTTTGTTCTAATCTCGACTGCGAGGCGTCTGCGTATGCTTGACTGTGCATGCGCAAAGCTCCAAACTTCCAGCTTCTACTTATTTGCCCAGCTTTTGATTTTCCAGATTTCCGGATGTTCGTGCATCTGGAAAGTGTATGTACGCACACACACACACACACACATCTTCTTTTTCTCTAGGTAGAATACTACGCATTAATATCAATGTGAATATATATATATATATATATATATACGATATACGACGAAGGTATGATAGATACACAGATGTACGTAGATAGATAGAGAGATAGGTAGATAATTAGACAGGTCGATAGATAGATAGACAGGTAGAGAGATAGATAAAACAAGTGTATATATATATATATATATATATACATACATACATACATACACTCACACATATGTATGTGAGTGCAAGCAGGGCATACACATTGTCCCCCAGGCCGACCAAACTTCCAACATAATGTTACTATACATTGTGTGCACGTGTGCTTGCTTTTACCACTGCACGCCCTTAACTCCGCCCTCGAAACCCAGAGACTCCAAAGAAACCTGCGACTGAGGAATATATACTTTAAAACCACAGTAAGAACCTTTCTTCATGTAATGAACTCTCATTCCGTAGTCAGGGGCTCGGAGTCTTCGGAAACGGGAAGCGAAGCTGTCCAGCCGAGGGGCCTTTTGCGCCTGGTTCACAGACAGCCAGACCTTGAGAAGGAGACACCGCGCTTCGGCAAAGGCAACTGAAAAAAAGAGTAATGCAAGGGGCTAGTTTAGGCATGTTGGGGGCCCTACATATAATGGTTCGGGTACTGGCTATGATATACTCATGAACCACAGTCTATCTAGTACATGCATAAGGCTCGTGCCTGAAGCCCTTCGCACAGCTGCGGAAGAGGCTGCGTGGGCCTGGAGAGAGAGAGTTTGGCTGAGACATAGCAAGTAGCGATAGGCTGTAGTTGTAAGATAATACCTATATAGTCTCCATTGTAGCTCCTTTTAATTTGGGTTCTTTATTAAGGATCCTAAAGGTTACCCCGAGAAGGAACTACAATGGAGACTATAGGTACCGCGAAGGTACTTGTAAAGCCTGAAACTGTGAAATAGTACTCCAAACACCTTTTATACAGCGCAGAATGAAATAACAAATATTCAACGATATGACCCCAGAAACCCATACAGCCATTGTAAACGCCAAGCGTACAAGAAACCTTAAACCCCCCCAAAAAAAAAACTAAACCCTACAGCCCAAACCCTAAACCTAAACCCCGAACTGGACTAGGATACCCAGTAACCTAAGAATAAAAAGGCCTCTCTTTTTGGTATTGGGTAACTTTATAAGGAACCTAGGACTACATAAAGGGAATAAGGGTACTACTGGAGATCCTAGCTTCTTCAATTCTTCGATCTTTATTGGTGGCTTCCAAACCCAAGTGCCTCTTCTGAGCGCTTTCTGCCGCAGCTGCTCGAGCAGACAGGGCCTTCGGGGTGAGATTTCCCAGACAGGCCAATACCTCCTGAAGAAGAACGGTTTAGGGTTTAGGGTTTAGGGAAGAATATTCAAGCACAAAATTTTCGAGGGTGGCACCTGCTTTTTTTGTGTGCAGCCTGGTTTGGATTTTCCGTTTGCGCAATTACAGGGTTATGCAGGGTTTCACAGGCTATCTTGGGTCCTTCGTTTGCTTTCGGACTCGCAGAACGTCAAGAAAGCAATATCTGGCATTGAACGCACGGCCGCAAAGAGTGAAGACATCAAGACAGGATAGGCGACCTTTCACCTGTTTGCAAATCCGCCGAGGCCACAGGCCCAGGCGTTTTGGTGGTTACCTCAGGTACCCTCCACCTAATCCTCCTCCCTGCAGTCCAAATGTTTGGGGACACCCTGTTTTTGCGCTCGTTTGCCACCCCCTTGCCCGGCCTCCCCTCATTTTCTTTGATTTGCGGGCCTACCCGCCCCCTCCCAGGCCTCCTCCCCCTCTTTTTCCTCCACCGTGCCCCCCTCCCCCCCTCCTCCCCCCCCCTCCCCCCCCTCCCCCCCCCCTCCCCCCCCCTCCCCCCCCCCCCCCCCCCTCCCCCCCTTTTTCTTCCCTCTTTCCTGCTCCCACTTCTTCTCCCCGCCCTCGTTTCGTCTTCCTCGCCCCCGCTTTGGCTTTTGCGTCGTCAATCCACTGCCTGTCTTTCTTTTCAGGCTCTTTCTGTGTTGTTTTTTCTTGCTCCGGGCGGCATGGCTGGAAGGCCTTAACCGGTTACAGGCCCAGGCGTCTTGGTGGTTACCTCAGGTACCCTCCACCTAATCCTCCTCCCTGCAGTCCAAATGTTTGGGGACACCCGTTTTTTGCGCTCATTTGCCACCCCCTTGTCCGGCTCCCCCCCTCCCCGACACTCCCGCTTAGCATGCTGTATACAACATCCACTGCCGCCTCGCCCTGCCGCTACAGAGCCGAGGCGGGCGGCGTAGCGTTAAAATTACGGTTCCCTTGCTGCAGCCCTAGGTTAGTTTGATTCGAATCAGGTGTTTGTGATCTAGCCTAGTGTATAACTACGAGGAAGGTATTTAGATCCTTAAAGTACTCAGGGGATTTTTATCCCATTTTTCAGGGCATAGCCACTGAAATCCCACTGAGCAGGGTCAACAAGCCTCCTGTATCTAGCGGAGAGCCTCCGTGGCGTATCTCAACTGATCATCCAGGATCTGCGCCTGGCACGCTCTTTCGTTGCATCTCTGGCAGGGCTTGAAGAGTCACTCGTGAGAGTTGGCTTCATCCGGGTTCGGGGCGTCGACCAGCTTCCGGTTTTGGGGAAAGGGCTCCCAAGACATCAAACCCTGAAACCCTAAACCGTGGCTCTCGGGTGCCTTGTCTTGGCCCATCCGGATCTCCTCCTGCAGTGCCTGGCATGCAACAAACGGGATGACAACATCATGACCTTCGGTCAGCAACCTGGGCATCACACCAAGCTTGAACCCAATGTGACACGCACAAAACCCTAATTTCCACACCCAAGAGAGAGCCCTCGAAACAGCTGGCAACTACTTAGGACTTAGAGAAACATTTGGCAACTACTTAGGACTTAGGCATAGGGCGTACAGGGATACAGTACATTATGGAGCCCTACAGAAAACCATTCTAAAGGCCCGTATATGTCACACCACATCACACCCCAAATGCTGATTTCTAAGCCCTGGCCTCGCGCTGGCGCTGGCTCTCTGCCGCGCGCACTGCTGCAGAGGCATCTCGAGCCTCGGGTGGGTCCAGGGAAAGTAGGTATTGTTTATAGACTTTAGGCCCCAAAGTAGGTACTATTTGTATACTTGGAGCCCCAGGGTTGTGGATGCCTTTAGGAGTAGGGGTTTAGGGGCTTAAGGCTTGTCTTTGAGGATCTATGGGTTTACAGGGCTTCAAATCTCGGATCTTGTGTTTGCGGTGTAATATGGTGTAATTGGGGTTTAGGGTTTACCTAGACTAACGACTCTATCAGGGTCATACCATTTTTTGAATGGTACATTTGCTGCTCTGGGAAGAGTTTAGAGCTCCAGGATTCAGAGTACTGGTTACATGAGAATGATAATTTTCCTGCGCCGCTCTTATTGCATGTGTGCCTCATCGTCGTGAGAAAAGAGCTGCTCCTCCAAAATGCCTCAAACCCTGTGAAACCCTTCAACAAAAACCGTGAAAACCCTTACGGATACGCGGGGAACTTGAAAGTCTGAAAAGCTTCTGGGGAGAACTGCATAAACTTTACTATAAGTTATACATACCTCAGGAAGCATCTACAGGTTGCTGGGCCTTTAGAACCCTTACATTGAAGGGCAACAACTATGCTGCCAATCTCGCGATCTCGTCCTTATATGGCCTGCAGCTGTTTTTGGTGATTTAGGAGCTTCCGAAATGGGGGCTACCTTATCTTGGGGATCCTTATATTAAGGACCCTACTACTTAGGGTACTATATTAGGGTCCCCTATTTTCGGAAACCCCTAACCCTAAACCATAAGCCATTATAGAAGCCCTTAAAGGAACCCTTATAGATCCCTTAAAAGGAACCTTACATTCTATATTGAGGGTCCCCCATACTTCGGAAACTCCCATTTGTGGATTCCCTGAGCCTTGAGCCCCAAAACCCTGTCAGGCTCCCGGCAAGAGCAGATTTGGAAGCCTCCAACTCGGACCTTGGCGACATGGGGTTTCTTGAAAGGCTCCACAAAATTAATATAATACCACTACTCCACTACTACGACGGCTAAGTCTAAGTTAAATGAATGAGTTTTTGTTACTACTACTAAAACTTCTTGTCAAATAAGATTATTAATAAATTTAAAGGGTGGGCGGAAATGGGACTATGAGGGATAGGATACGCCCAGATTTTTGATGATCAGGGGACTTCGTACCTAGAAACGCCACAACCCCTTGAGTTCTCAAGCCCCGATATCAAGCTTCACTACATTCCTTTATGAAAGGGTTTTTGTCTCTGGATAAGTAGGTCATGATGCAGCCTTATAGAGACGATTAGAATTGGCCGGAAGCCTAGACAAGACACTACCTTTACGGTAAAGCACGTTTTGAAGAAGCTTCGCAACCTAATTGCATGACCCATGAAAAAGCTTGTCGGCCCTTTTGAAAGACTTCCCAGACATGAACGAAACTGCCTTAGGGTTCAGGTTTGAAGCTGGCTTCCCCGGGACGGTCTGCATCAGATAGGCAAGTGCCCCGTAAAGAAACAGATGCATAGGCTCCTGAAGGGGCCTAACTTCGATAGCGCAACTGCAGCTGCAAGGGTGCAACGTGTAAGGCACCGACGTCCAATGTTGGAGAGCCTTTCAGACGAACAGCAGTTGCAGAAAATGGACCTATGTCCTGTGTAATGGTATCCTCTTTCTAACCCAACGAGCCCCACAAAATGAGCCACAATCTTTTGAAATTTGTGATGCTGCAGGTTCTCCAAATCAAGGCATAAGGGGGAGAACCCGGAAACCCTAAACCGTGAACTCAACTAAGACTTGAAGCGCAAACCCTTAAACTCCCCATGTTCACTTCGCTTACGCAAGGGGGCAAAGCTCAGCAACTTGCGCCAAAGTTCTTTGCAATCGTGAGACCCTGGGACCATAAGCATTGCAACCTTGGTTGAGGATTTGAGAACGGGTTTCTGTAGGGGTTACTTGGACGATCTTTTGACTTACATACTAAGTCGGCTTACTAGGCTATAACGTAAGGATTATTGTCGAGGTTATAGCGGATTCAAAGCAGACATAGTCGGTCCAAAACGCCTCCGTCTGAGCTTTTTGCTTACGATCCAGAGTGTTACACCAAGCTTCTGAGCAGCTAAAAAACATCTACACCCTAAGCCGTAAACTGAACCCAAAAACCAGAACCATGAACCCTACCTATAGTCTCCAGTAGCGGGGCTTGAAGTACTCGATGATCTCCGTTGTGGTTCCTTTTTGGGGTTACCTTTCAGGATCCGTAATATAAAGTTTGCTAAAACAAACAGGAACTACAATGGAGACTATGGGTAAACTAAACCCGGAATCCCATGAGCGATAAACCCACAACCCTACAAAAACCTTTGTTCCAACACGCCTCATTCTGCTCTGCAAGTCGACGTGCGAGGGACATGCGTTCCTGCCATGGCGACAAAGAGCCCTAAGAGTTGAGTTCGAGCTGTCTTCGGCCCAGGGAATACCAGGCCGTCAAGGAGAATATGATAGGGTCAGATAAAGGCCCCATGCCGCGGTTTAGGGTTTAGGGTATGAAGCATTTCACGCTACCACTTCTTGATTGATAGCGTTTGGGCATGCAGGAACACTCCCTCAAGCGCAGAACCCAAAATTATGTAGAACCCTGCCACCTAGCAATGTAGAGCCACAGAACCCACCCCAAAGAACATGTCACACTGTATACGTCTATAAGCCTTCATTTCAAGCAACACCTGCCTCACCGAGTGCTTCCAGGTCCGCTTGAGCCCTTGCGACGTCGCCGGGACCTCCCAGGATTTTTTGGCGTCTGGGGGAGCTGGCAGAAGGAAGGAGAAAGAGTGTAGTGTTTAGGGGATAAGGATTCCGATGTAGCAGGAAAATGGTCATGATGGCGAGGCTGCAAATCGAACAAGGATACAGATGGGATCACGAACAATCAGAAACGCAATCAGCATGCTTGCAATGGCAAAATCACTACACACCGCAACACTTGGGTGGTTGTCAAAATTATGGTCCCTTTTTGGGCCCCCAATATAGTACGGCACCTATTGTTTAGGGTTCCCAAAAAGGAACCCTAATTTTGACAACCACCCACTTCAACACTGGAATCAGGGCCCAAGATGGCCCAGAGCAGTGTCAAGAGGGGATAACTAATAGCCTCGCCGAGTCTACGAATTACTAGAGAAGACATCGGAAACCACTGAAACCCCAAACCCTCAACCTCTCAATCCCAAGCCCGAAAGCTTGTAGGGTTTATCTTACCTTTGGTTAGTAGGGAATGGAGGAATGGGGTACAACTGTAACTACTGTTGCTACCATTCTTCCATTCCCTACTAACCAAAAATAAGTATGTAGCCCTAAGCCTTAAACCGTTCAACCCTAAACCCTAACGCAAAGGATCCAAAGTACTTATATAGTAGAATGTAGGGGTTTCTATATTAGGAATTACTATTATGATTTGGGGAAGCGTCCCCCATAGCAGTACTATAGGACCCTTTGGGAAACTCCCAGATCGAAGCCTTCACCGAGCAACGGCTCTGCGATGAGTTCGGCCTGGCTTCCTAGGATACCCAGTAACCTAAGAATAAAAAGGCCTCTCTTTTTGGTATTGGGTAACTTTATAAGGAACCTAGGACTACAAAAAGGGAACAAGGGTACTACTGGGCATCCTAGCTTCTTCAATTCTTCAATCTTCATTGGTGGCTTCGGGACCCCTTATAGCAGAAGCCTAAGCGTTGGAAACCCGATAGCCTCAATCCCTAAGAGCAAAGTATAGGGAATCCCAGCACGATTTGTCCTTAATTGGGTTTCCAACATTTTGGAGTTTACAATAAGTTCCTTTAAGGGGCTCCTCTGAGGGGTACTACGAGGTTGCTATGAGGGATTTCGGGTTTCGGAATTTGGCGTTGGTTGATCAAGGACTAAGCTTAGGGTTTAAAGTTTGGTGGATCGAGGGACTCAGTAAGTAAAAGTTGGAAAACTCCAAGCAGTATCAGAGTGCTGAACACCCCAGACGAATCTGCTTGTTAGGTTTTTGGGTTCCATGATCAGTTTAGTTAAAACAGCAACGACCCCTGGCCCTAAATCTATGGTTCTTCTCCGCAGTGTTAACCACAACCCAAGATTGCGGAAGATGACATGCTGACGAAGTCCGGATTCCTTCATGTAGGGAAACAGTCCAACCCTCAACCATTCACATGACTTTCTGTAAGCGCCCGGCTGTACGAAGAACCCCCGCCTATAGAAAACCGGATGTCGCAGCCTGTCGAAAGCCCGAGAGCCCCTTACGAATCGAAGCCCCGCTCAAATACTTGAACAGCAGACAGAGCTGGATTGAGCTGGAGGGTTCCAGGTTTAGGGATTAGGGTTTGGGGTTTAGTATCTTCGGCTCCGAATTACCTATTACGGCTTTCCCTCGTCCCTGTATCAAATGCATCTACGTAAACTAAGAAGTGTTGGAGATGAAGCCTTGCCCTTGTTCGCAGGCACCTCGCGGTGCTGCAACTCCCATCGCAGAGCCTGCCCGACGCTGTTCGCTCAGGAAGGCTTCGGGGTTCGTGATGCTTCAGATTTCATGACTGGTAGTTCAGGATGCAGGGTTGAGCGTGGGGTTAGGATTTCCAGGAAAAGGAAGCATAAGCAATCACTTTCATTTATCGACCGCACATCCCTCAATCGCAGGGGACAAGGAAATTCAAAGAAATTGGGTCTCGGATCCTCTACAACTTGTCCCCGCAGTCCGGTGTACCGGCTTCTTCATTGCTCAAGAACATCCAGAGAGACTGTAAACAATCGCAAATAAAATCATTTTTATCACGGCAACTGTCAAGAACTCCCCCGACCCCAGCATCCCACCGCATAGGTACAGTGTGTTTAAGTGAAAGCCTGCAGCCGAAAAAAGCAAACAACATCGAACCAAAAAACACCAACGCTGAGACTGCCAGACCCTAGACCCCAAAACACCCAAAGTTGAATCCCCCAGACCTTCCAAAATCCCTCAATTAAGGAATATACCTTAATTCATATTAGAGACCCTCTTATAATTTAACGTATATTCCTTAATTAAGGGATTTTGGAAGGTCTGGGCCTAAACCTTCAAAAACCATCAAACCCGATGACTCACTCAATGGAGGGAAGTTCGATTAGTCTTGCCCAACCGCTAAACGTAAAGCCCATAAAACCTTTGAGCCTGACCCAAAACACCCAAACTAAAATCTTAAGCCTTTGATCACAAGCCCGTAATATCGGGTTTTTGGCCCCTTACACTACAACCATAATCAGGAACAACCCCGAAATAGTATAGGCACTTAGTAAGGCCTCTACATGTAAAACGAAATAGTCTCCATTCTAGTTCCTTGCTACCTTTTTGGGATCCTTCATATGAAATTGGTTAAACCAAAAAAGGAGCTACAATGGAGACTCAAGGAACACCTTGAACCTTAACCAGGCTAAGTGGAAGGCCCCCCGCCGGTGCCTCGGGTCCTCCAGTACCGCCATCGCCTGCCAAAGGACGGTCAATGGCGATTTAGCGATGTGGGTTCAGGGGTTTTGAGGAGTGTAGGATTTTCAGGTGGTTTGAGGGTACAGGGTGTAGCGGGTTTATTGGGTTTCATTTTACAGGGTTTTAGGGTTTGGGGGTCCGCCGATCTCCAAATGCAGGGCATGAGCATCACTTGCGAAACAACTACGTACTTGAGAAGGAACTGCTGTAAATATTAAAAACCCTAAACCCAAAGCCAACACCCTAAACCCTCTATGGATCCCTTTCCAGAACCCCATAGAGGAACTCTAGAAACTCAAACTTCAGAGCTTCAAAACAACTTTGCATTGCACCTCCGATCTCGGAAGACAGCCGAGCACCTGCTCGGCCGGGCTCTGAACATGCGGCCACTGTAATAGCAACAGTGACAGCAAACAGTAGTCATAGTTTTCATGAACTAATACTGATATAAAGTCTATCTTCAAGTTACATTATAACATACAATATGTACTGCAGAAGATATATCATGTATATATATACATATATATATATATATATATATTGTAGACATGTGCTGAATCGTAGGCTAGCTCTGAGAGGCCCGAAACCCTGTGCTTGAATGTGGCTTAAAGCATGTAGGGTTCGGGGTTTCGGGTCTAACGTACCCTTACCTGGAGCCTAAAGAACCTACCGTTCTAGAGTTCCCTATTATGATTTCTTAATACAAGTCCTTACAAAGGTAGGTTATTTAGGCTCCAGGTAGGCCCTACAACAACAACCTCAACCCAAAAGGCGATGTAAAAGCCTACTTAAAACACACAGCCTTGCTCGCCGAAATGGAGGTTCCGGGATCTCGAAACTCACGCCGGAGGTTCTAGGATTCAGGGTTTAGGGGTTGTTACATGTGTGATTTCACGTTCGGGGTGTCCAAAATTTGGGTGCCTAAACACCTATAAAGTTTGACCTGAATCCCCAAATGCTTGGAGTCTAATCGCTAAGCCCATCGAACATCGACTTAGGTTTTAGAACAGCGTCCTGCGGAAATTAGGATATGGTAGTTCAAGGTAAACCCCTGAACTCTCCTCGTCTTCGAAGGTAGGCAAAGCACCTGTCCTCTGGACACCGCCAAAAAAAGAGCGGAGCTCCAAAACAGCATAACCCAAACCCAAAACCCTAAACATCCCTAAACCCTAAACCCTGAACCCTAAAGCCCTAAACATCCCTAAACCCTAAACCGTTAAGTTTGCGGTTTTTTCCGGCACCCAGCCTTGCAGGGCATGAGGGGGGTCAGGGTTTAGGGTTTAGGGTTCAGTGATTGGGATGTACAACAAGTTCCGAGTTCGAGGCTTTGTCGGTTCTCGTGCCGCAGGTTCGGGGGATAGGAGAGTAGGGTTTCAGGGTCAAGGGATTTGGCTTTAGTGGTGCTTGCTAGATTCTGAGGCTGCCTAGGGATGATAGTGGAGCATGGGGGAGGCGCTCATGCCCATGTGCATAGTTTAAGGGTTTTGGTGTACACTTCCAGGGGCAGGACAAGGTGCCTCAGAACCCCATTTAAAACACTCCTCCGGGTGATTGTCATTTATAAGGGGCTTGCGAAGACGCAATAAAGAGAGCGTGATTTGCGCAATATTCAGAATCTTACGGTGACTTAACGTATATTCACGAACCCCTTATAAAGGCTGGAAACCCAAGACCGCAACAAGATTCCTCGTCATGTCATCTCTGAGCCGCAAGCAAGCATCCTCTAATTGAGAGGAGAACGTGGACAGTGCCTGGCACGAGACATCAAGTTGTTTAGGGCTTGGGTTCGTGGCTTTAGGATGTCGCGTCTGAGCTTAACATGTAGCACCACACCCGGAAAAAATGGTAGGTCATGGCCACCACTGTACTATAGTACTAAGCAGGTTCATACCCGTATATGAACCAGCAGACCCACTGAAAGAGCCATCATGACGAGCCCCAAACACTTAAGGAGCCTCTCAGGACCTCGAAGGCGTTTAGGCTTCAGACTAGGCTTCCGCTAAGGGTCCAAGTACCTGATTATCATATACTCTCGAAACCAGTAACCTACATAATTATTATCCCAAACCCGAGTACCTGATTATTGGGTGCTTTGGACCCTTAGGGTTCGGACTGCCAAAGGGGTGGTTGTCAAAATTAGCTTCCCTTTTGGCTCCTTAATTTTAATACGGCACCTAGTATTTAGGGTACCCAAAAAGGGACCTTAATTTTGACAACTGCCCAAACGTACTCTCAAAGTGTTTCTTCATGTTTTTGTATACCGATCCTTCGTAAGCTTGAGTCGGAACTCCTTGCCAGGTGGCACGAGGCCTAGTCTATACATATATACACCAACAAGTACGTCTCTCAGCTCCCACAATCCATGGCCCAAAACCTCGGCACAGCTGAGCTAAACCCTGAAAAACCAAACTCCAAAGCCCTACACCCTACAAGCACCAGACAAACCCAAGGAGCGCCGCCAGATCCGACATCTTATAACTAAACAAATAAATAAGTAAATACATATATATATATATATATATATATATATATATATATATATATATTTATTTATATTGATATGTTATAACGTAACATGCAAACATGACTTGAGCAATAGCACTTTTGAGTAACAGCGTTTTAACAAAATGCTAACAACACGAGCTGCCATTGAGTGCATCTTATGGGCGCTCTTTTCCGTTTTCACACTTTCGCGCTGAAGCACATCCTAGTAGCTGACAAAACATGTTAGGCTCAAGAGTCACCAGGTGTCGCGTCTACCCCTTCAGGTGGCGCTTGGAGCAACAGAAGGAAGTGGGGAGTTCTAGGATTCTAGGCATATTCAAACCATGAAGCTACCTGAACTGTGAGGCCGCAGGAGTTCCTGAATCCTAAGCCAAACTGATATCCCAAAGTCTTTCGAATCCTTCTAGGCTCCCTGAACATCATTTGAAGCGCAGCAGTTCATAGTAACACCTGAAACCCGCTTCTGATAAGGCAGGGATGTTCACCCCACACCCCGCCCCGGCTACAAAGTCAGAAACGCAGCAGAAGCGTCCTCGCCGGCACTTTGGCGACCAGTCTCCGCTGCTTCTGCAGCCACCTATCTTGTCTTCGCTTCGTGTCGGATTTAGCGGGGGCGGCGGTTGGGTTTCTGCAGGCGGTTGTAAGGGAAGTACCTTAGCTTCCAAACTAATATCATTTAAGCTTTGAGAATTAAAGGCTGCAGGATTCCTGAGCACGGCTTACGCCAACAGGAAAACAAGTAACATGCGCATGCTCAGTGCTATTGTTTCCGGGGACAGATCTGCACTATCACTTACTTCATATAGCGATAGAACTGATAGAACTAGAAACCCTAAACCCTGTTACCTAACTAGTGCCACTAGTTCGTAGAACCCAAGCATTACGGATGTAGTCTTCCCATTGTTCAAGAAGGCCACGCGCATTCGGTGAAGTATCATTCTGGTCATCATCCTGCCGCGAAGGACTGTGACTACACCCGTGCTGTTTTCATTGGTTGCAACAGCACTGTTTTCGAGACCCTTGATGCTCTTGTTGTTCTTGTTGTCCTTGCTGCTGCTCGCGCAGCTCTTGCTGTTGCTGCAGTCATGGTCGCTGTCACTCTGGGTTTTGACACCTTAGAACAGTATAAGGTAGAAGCCAGAAAGTTGGAATATGATTATCGTAACCCCTTCAAGGTAAATTATAGGGGATCCTACCATTAATCCATATTCCAACTTTCTGGAGTCCCCTGTATAAAAATCCTAAAGCCAAAAGCTAGGAGCTGAACCCGGGATCCTCCAAGCCTTAAACCCCAAGACCCTTCACCCGGAACTCCACAAAACCTTGCTGCCGGCGGAAAGACCTTATCAGAGGCTTCAGGGCTCCTTTAAAGGGATCCCGGTTTAGGGTTTAGGGTTTAGGGTTTAGGGTTATCCCTAAGGGAGCTCTATGACCATCATCATCATCATCATTGAGCACTGGGAATCTAAGTTTTCTAGGGCTAGGGCTGAGCAAAAAAACACACAAACCCCGAATGCCTGGAGCCGAGGCGAGCAGCCCCAAAACCCTCAAGCTCCGCTTCCTCTAGCTATAGCCCCAAGGGTCTAAGTACCCAATAATCATATACTCTCCAAAATCCTAACCTACGTAACTATTATCCCAAAACCGAGTACCTAATTATTGGGTCCTTTGGACCCTTGGGGTGGTGGGAGTTTCCGAAAGTAGGGGACCCTAAGATAGAACCCGAAAATAGGATCCTTATTATAAGCACCCCCCAAAATAAGGTACCCCTAATTTGCGGAACGCCCCTCATAGGCAAACGAATGAGTTTGCCGGAAGTACGTGTTGCAGGGGCCAAGGAGCACAATAACAAAACCCTGCCCTTGACAACCTGAAGGATATCCTGATATCCTAAGCGTCAAGTCAAGCTAAACCTTCAACCCTGACCCTAGAAAAACCCTGCCTGTAGGCCCAAACCCCTTGAACTAGCAGTTTGAAGCTTCATAAGTATAGGGTACAAACCCTAAAGCAAGTTTGGGGATCCACAGGTAAGCCCTCCATGGACTGGCCCTCAAGCCACCCTCAAATCCTCTAAGCCTCAAACCATTAAACCGTTCCATATTCCCGTAAGGCTGCACGTGCCCAGCAACTGTGGCCCTGAAGTACCCATGTTGCGACTACTTGAAGGCCGCTATACTACTACCTATAGTCTCTATTGTAGTTTCTTTTTTGGTTTAACCTATTCTACATTAAGGATCCTAAAAGGTAACCCCAAAAAGGAACTACAGTGGAGACTATACGTAGAGTTACTACAGTTATATCGCGACTACAGGGGGATGGTGTTTCTACTTGCGCAGGCTCAAGCCCTAAACCCCAGATGCTAGAGTGAGTTGTTTGTATATACTATATGAGGACATGGGCCAATAGGGCTCACATTGTACCTTATTTGGGGGTCCTTATAATAAGGATCCTACTATTTAGGGTACTATATTAGGGTCCCCTATTTTCGGAAACTCCAGAGCACTGCGCGCCCGAGCCTTTGCTTGACTTAAGCAGCCTCGCCAGGTATCTGCCTGGCACCGAGCTGTCCATGGACTTAGCTTTGGTTAGTAGGGAATGAAAGAATGGTAGTAATGGTAGATATAATTGTATCCCCATTCCTCCATTCCCTACTAACCAAAGATAACTGGATGCTTAGGGATCGGAATAAGGTTTAGGGTTTAGGATGCTTAGTAATCGGAATAAGGGTCGACTGTAGTATTGTTATAACCAGTCGTATTGTTATCACCAGGCACCTGAGAGGAACAGTATGAGTTTTCCTGTTGCCGGAAGTCGGCTGCAAGGTCAAGTGCCCAGACCTTCCAAAATCCCTTAATTAAGGAATATACCTTAAATTAGAATAGGGTCCCTAACATGATTTAAGGTATATTCCTTAATTAAGGGATTTTGGAAGGTCTGGGTGTGCAGACTGAGTTCAGGGTGGGTTTCGGGTGCAGGGCAAGTTGAAGGTCTTGGGTTGCCGGTGGATCGAGAGTTTTTGAGCTAGGTTTGGGGGTTTAGTTTGGGGGTATGTTATTCTGTAAAATAGTCTCAGGAACCCCATAACACTATTCTAATTCTTGTGGGTTTGCGGCTTGAAGATGGATGTGCTGAGAGTGTTCCTTAGTCACTTTTTGGGGCTTCTTTTGACGATTTTTTGCTGGGAGCTGAACGGTTCGGCTGGGCTTAAGGCTGAGAAGCGTCCTACCCTTGTATGAGGCTTTGGTTGGGCTTGGGTGCTCTAGAACTAGTATGATTGAGGTGCATATCAGAATATATAGTCATATAGTCGGAAGGCATGCATTCCTTGAGTAAGGGATGTGTTGAGTCTGTTGAGTCTCTGCGTGCATCTGCTGCCCTCCACCAGCCTGCACCCCAAGCGTCGACGCGCCTCGGACACGGTCGGGGCTTTATGGGTTTGTAAAGGGTTTCATGGGGTGGTCCCAGCCGGCTGAGGTAGGTGCTATAAGTGATAGATTTCCTGTAAGGCTTCCACTATACCTACGAGCTACCTCAGGCGTTCTTCACACAAAAATGTCGAAGGAAAGGCTTCAGGTGGGGTTTAGGCTGAGGGTTAAGGGCATGGGGGGTTGGGGGTTTGGGGAAAGGAATACTTGGGTAGTTCTCTAAATCTGGCTCTCTGTTTAGCTCCATTTTACGGGGGTGCCTTACTATTTTGGGGACCTCAAAAGGAACGTCAACTTAGGGAACCATTTTTTGTCTCCAGTGTAGTTCCTTCTTTTGGCTTAAACCACGTGTTGGTTCATGTGTTAAGACCAAAAAACAAGGGTAAATTTAGAGATAGTATCCTCTATAATGAACTACAATGGAGACTATAGGTACAGCCATATCAGCAGCCCGCCCACTCTGACTGTAAGGAAGGCTCCCGCTAAGTACCCGGCTGTCGTATGCCTGGCTGAGAGACTCCTCCAGCATGGACACCTGGGTTTGGGGTTCAGGCTCTGGGGCTTCAGGCTTCAGGGCTTGGGGCTTTTGGGGCCCCCAAAAAGCATAAGCAAAAAATAGGATAGGGATATCGATATCTCATATAAGCCCACTTATAATGAAGAGCAATAAGGTCGGGATATCCCCATAGCATGCTTATGCTTGTGTGCTTGTGTGCTTTTTGGGTCCCTGAGCTTTAGGCTTCAGGGTTCAAAGGTTTTGGGGATGAGGGTCTTCCAGCTAGGATGTGCAGGGTTTAGGGTTTAGGGTTTAGGGTTTAGGGTTTAGGGTTTAGGGTTTAGGGTTTAGGGAAAAGAAACCAGGGTTGGCTGTTGAAGCAAAGTCGACAAGGCCGTGTCTACCCAATGTGCTATGTAGTCCTTCTAAAGAAAATGAAACACCTTACCGACCTGTCTATTGTTTTTGAGGGGAGTCTGAAAACGAACACCCTAAGCACCGCAATCTCTAAAACCCCAAACCGGAACTGGCCATAGAACCCTCATAGATCTGCTGAAGAAACCTGAAGTCACCCCAAACCCTCAACCCTAAACCCTAAACCCTAAACCCTAAACCCTAAACTCTAAGTTCCTGGCCAACTGATGGCGTCGGAGAGCTTCTTCGGCACCTTTCTGGGATGTCCAAGGGGCCCCAGACTAAGGAATTCTGTCAGCGTGTTAAAAGGAGTTTATGAGGATTCTGCGAGGGAGCAGAACAGTGTGCCGGGCCCAAACGAAACAACGATTAGGCACTTTGGTTTAGGATAGTTGTATCGTAGGCGACTACTTGGGGACTATATTGTTAGCTTTGCTGTTGCTGTATTTTGCTCTGGTTACCATTGCTATTAAGCTTGTTACTACTGTCATTATTATTATTGTTGTTAACACTCGTACTATGACCACTTCTATTCCTATTATTGTCACTATCCGGATTGCTACTAACAGTACTAGACCGTACCCCTATTACTATGTTATTATTGTTGTCAGTACCATCATCTTCTTCTTCATTGTTATCACCATCATCATCGTTCTTGTTACTATGATAACTATTATTGCAGTGCTCTGCTATGAGGTTGTCTATTGCCACTGTGTTTTGTTGTTCATACTACTGTTCTTATACTTGTCGCCGTTATCTTGATTGTAAGCTGGTGGACCCTTAATAAAGGGTTTATGGTTCAGGGCATGGGCATCACTTGAAGGATCAAGGGCTATGAGGCTTGTACATTTTGCTGTTGGGCTTACGTGGGCTGCTCCAGGGAAGTACCGGGGACGTAGGATGACGGGGTGCACAAATACTGTTGATGGACAAAATCCTGCATGACCCATAATAAGGAATATACCATAATTCCCATAGTTTAGGGTCCTTAAGGCAATGCAGGATTTTGTCCATCAGCAGTAGTTCAGGCCCATTATAGCAACTTGGGAGCTGTGCCTGCTGCCACGGTTTCGAGAGAAGCCAGCTGCTGAGCCTGTGCCTGGAGCAATTCAGTCAAAGGTGTAGGGAGGCTTGGGGGGGACAGGTCTTTGTAGAGGTTTAAGGTTCTCTGCTGGGCTTTAAGGGGCTGGAAATCCTCTCTTGTGATTGTGGTGTCTGCCGACTCCAAAAAAGAGACCGAAACCTTTTGATTGAGCAATTTAGCTCGTATTACAAGGCTACAAGGAGCCGACAAAAACAAAATACCACATTCGAGGAGCCTGAATAACAGGACCCACCCCCGCCCCCACCCCAAAAAAGCCCATACTTACAGTTATGAAGTCAGCCCTCGGGCTCTGGTTAGCGAATCCCTAGGCGCCCATGTGTCTATCTAGTCTATACTGTGTGGGTTCCTACTTAAACCGTTCAAGGCCGAAGCATGTGCTATATATATATATATATATATACACATACATACATATATACAGATATACATATATATATATATATGTATGTGTGTGTGTAGTAAGGCTATCGTGGGCTATTCATATATAGCCATCAGCTTCCCAACAAAGATTTTTGTAGGGCTTAGGATTTAGGGTGCTTTGCATACCGCCCAGTAGCCCGGTGTTTGCAGAACTTCAGCCCACGCAGAGGACCGTTCCCAACCTCTAGATAATGAAGCCAGCATGAACAGTAGGGCCGTTCTTCAAAGGACCTCTGAATCATGAATGCAGCACCCATCTAAGGAATAGCTTAAGCTCTCTTGGAAGCCTGGGCTTGACGGCTCTATTCCGGCCACAATAAGAGGTCGGGCGCGTTTAAAAAACATCTGCCTAGAGGCTCCGTAGTAGTTCCTTTTTGGGGCTTATATTTAGAATCCTATAGGGTAATCCCAAAAAGGAACTACCTATGGGGCCTATGGGTAAGGTTCATCTGATATTCTGAGTTATGTCGATGCTCTTGGGCCGGCAAAAATGTATCAACATGTGAGGCTTTCGCTGTTCTGAGAATGAGTCTGAGGGCTACTTTCGAAACTCCAGCTATCCCGCCAAAGACTACATGGGAGTTTCCGACAACAGGGGACCCTAATGTAGCACCCTAGATAGTAGGATCCCTATTAAAAGGACCCCAAGATAAGGTACCCCTAATGTTCGGAAACTCCCATATGAACCAACAAGCCTACTTCTAGCCCCACACCCCACGCAACATGTGGTTTTCAGATCCACAGGTGCGCCCTGAACTCTACAGACCCTTGACAGCCCTTAACAAACCCATAACTTGACTACACATCCTTAAAGAAACCTAAACCTCCCAATATATTGTTACGGTGTAATGTCGCGGCAATCATAACTGAATTATGTAGGGTTCTGGGGTCTACTACAACACTATATCTGCATAGAAACGACAAGGGCGCACTGTAAGTATCTATTCCGACCCTGAACAGAAGTGGGCTTGAGAGTGTATGTATATATGCAGGTATGTCTATATATTCATACTGGAGCTACATGCACAGGAAGTATAAGGGCACACAAGAGATAATCACTCCGAACCCAGATTGCATGGGGCTCTCGTTTTGGGACCAGAGCCTCAGCAGCTGACGCTGCCATGGCTCGGCCAAGAAGGTCAGGATTTGCTGGCCCTGGGGTGACCCTAAGTTAGGGTCCATGTACCTAAATCGTATATACATTGGCCTTAAAATAGTCCCTATATAGGTACATTGGGGCCAATGTATATACTATTTGGGTACATGGACCCTTAGGGTGAGTGCCTTAAGGCTCTGTCGTGTTTCATGTTGAAGGCTTAGGGTTCAAAGGCGTTATAGTGTCTTCTACGGCTTAATAAAGCTTTATGAGGTAGTATACCTATACTGAACATAGAACCCTAGCAAAAATTACAATCTTAGCTGTTTCTTAGGGATTATAATAACCAGAAATTAAAAGTTTCCAAGTACCCCTAAGACGACTTGCCAGGGGTTTCTGAGGTTCCAAGCGATTCCGTAGGGGCCTACGGTTCCAAAGGGTGCTATGCCATGGATTGCTCAGACCTTCCAAAATCCTTTAGTTAAGGAATAGACCTTAAATTATAGTAGGATCCCTAATATGATTTAAGGTATATTCCTTAAGTAAGGGATTTCGGAAGGTCTGGGTGTATAAGCGGTAGCAAGGGTTGTATAGGGTCCTGGAACAAAGGATCCTGGAGCAAGACTCTATAGCTGAAAAGAGAATGAAGTGTAAGTTCATTCTAGACGTGACCTCAATAAGAAGCATATGGCTGTGTGGGTGAACGTATAATAAACAATACGGACTATTATCTATACAAACTCCAAAGTCGTATGAACAAATACGAAAACGCTACGAAACCATTATTGAAAAGCAACAGGCACATAAAAAGCAGCAACAACAACATGAAATAAACAACACACAAACCTACTGAATTAGTAGTAAATGAACAAGTGCATGAATGAATGGCTAAATGAAAGCATCAACCCATAAATGCATTATGGCATATATATATATATATATATATATACACATGTACTGTACATACACGCATATATGTGTCCGTATATGTGTAAACATTTACTATACATGTAGAGATATACATACGCATATACATGTACATATACATGTACACAAACACAATCACAATCACAATCACAACGACAATCACACCGAAAAGAAACACATGCACTCACACACACACACACACACAGACAGAGGCACCCACACAGAAAAAAAGAAACATATGTATGTATGTATGTATGTATGTATATATACATATATATATATATATATATATATATTATATATGTACACACACAAACACGAACACAAACACTCATCTTCCACGAAAAGAAGGACACGCCGAGGCTCGGGCCTGCAACTGGCGAGGCGCCCGCGCGGTAGGCGTCCAAGAGGCAGCGGGCGACGAGGCCCCGGTGGCCCTGCTTTTGGGGAGGAGGTCCAGGGACATTTAGGATTCCTTTAAAGGGATCTATAGGGGTTCTATAAAGTTTAAGTTTTTTTAAGGGGTCCACATAGGGGTTCTATAAAGTTTAGGGTTCCTTCAAAGGGATCTATAGGGGTTCTATAAAATTTAGGGTTGTTTTAAAAAGGGATCTATAGGGGTTCTATAAAGGTGATGGCCCTGCTTTGGGGAGGGGGTTCAAGAGTTACTGGGGTTTAGGGTTTGGGTTTAGGGTTTGGGTTTAGGGTTTGGGTTTGGGGTTTGGGTTTAGGGTTGGGGTTTAGGGTTCCTGTAGAGGGATCTATAGGGATTCTAAAGGTGATGGCCCTGCTTTGGGGAGGGGGTTCAAGAATTACTGGGGTTTAGGGTTTGGGTTTAGGATTTGGGTTTGGGGTTTGGGTTTTAGGGTTTGGGTTTGGGGTTTGGGTTTCGGGTTTGGGTTTAGGGGTTCCTTTAAAGGGATCTATAGGTGTTCTATAAAGGTGATGGCCCTGCTTTCGGGGAGGGGTTTCAAGAATTACTGGGGTTTAGGGTTTGGGTTTAGGGTTTGGGTTTGGGCTTTGGGCTTCGGGTTTGGGTTTAGGGTTCCTTTAAAGGGATCTATAGGGGTTCTATAAAGGTGTCTAGGGGGTTCAGGGACCTACAAGGGATCCTAGAAAGGATCCATTAGGGTTTAGGGCTTTAGGGTTTTAGGGTTTAGGGTTAGGGTCTTGGGTTTGGGATTTTGGATTTTGGGGATCAGGGTTTCCAGGTTTAGGGATTTCGAAACAGGGGTGCTTTTCCGAGGATTCGCTTTCGGAGGGGGGGGGGGGTTCTTGAAACGGATGCCTTAAAGGAGTTCTGCTCCATTTGAGAGTTTCCGAAAATCATGGGAACCCTTTTTGGGGGGTCCTTACAATAAGGATCCCACTATTCCCCTATTTTCGGAAACTCCCATTTTATTCGCTGCTTATAGGGTTTAAAGGTCTGGGGATGGGGGGGGTTCGATAGAAGGCCTCCTTTAGAAAGGGTATCCTCTAAGGGTTATATAGCTGTTTAGGTCTTGAGGATCCCAGAACTCTCCTGATCTCTTTGCTTTGAAAAGAGTTAGTCTCGGCTTGAAGGTTGTTGCCGGGACAGCTCGGCACCCTGAACCACCCAAGACCTCACTGCTTCGGATTCCCTTCTCCGCCTTGATGATACGCCAAGGTATATCTACTATACTGAGAAATTCCACATCCCTAAACCCTGGCTAACGAGATGCATGATCCTTTTCTCAAGAATGCAGGCGACCCAAGCAAGGCTGTACGGGAAATAGGGGCTTGAAGAGTAAGGACTATAGGGCTTTTCGAGTATACTCTGATGTAACTGTGGTGGGGACTAACAGGGGATACTACGGTTGATGGTATAAATCCTGCATTACCTACAATAAGGAATATACCGTAATTCCCAGAGTCTAGGGTCCTTAAGGTAATGCAGGATTTATACCATCAACAGTAGTACTAGGCCCGCATTAAGCGAACAGGCCTGGGCGCGAAGAGAAACCCCGTCAAAGCCAAAAGCCCAAGATCCCAAACCGCAGAAACACCCTCTCGCGATAAAAACTAGCAAATTATGAGAACACAATATATTCGTATATATATATATATATATATATACATATAGATTTGTGTATATGTAAACATATGGATAAAAACTGATAGAACAAGATAGCTAGAAAGATGGACAAATAGACAGACAAAGCAGATATGTAGATCGACAGCCGGGGAATCCTACAAGCTCTAAAGTGTAGAAACTCGTACAAACAAGCCGACAACGGGCAAAACACAAAACTCGAAACATAGTCAAGGGACCCTAAACCCTAAAAACTGCAAAACCTACGCCCTGAACCTGAATCCGTCTAATTAAGCTGTCAAAGAAAACAAACTCGCTACACAAACCCTACAAGCAACCCTAAATCGTCAAGTTTAAAGCCGAATGCCTGCGGTGTTGCGTGGTCTGCCAGCTTGGAGACCAGCAACTCGTGCAGTCCTATGAGAATTCAGCAGAAAGGGATCAAGATAGGGGTCGTAGCTTAGGGTTTAGGGTTTAGGGTCGTAGCTTAGAATAGGGTGTTGTTTTTTACAATACGCACTTTGGAATCTGTCATATAAGGTAATTATTCGCGAATGCGACCCCCGCCCTACATGTTCAGAGTTGTCGGACCTCATGGATTTAGAGTTTATATGGTGTAGGGGTTCAAGACTAGTCCTTTTGAAGGGTGCCGCAAAGAGGATCCATGTTTGAACCCGCCTAGCCGCCCCCTAAAAAAAAGGACAGGCATAAGAAGCGCCTTACAAACTCCCTCGTCCGAAGAGCACCTCACCTTACCCTAAGGGCCCATGTAGTCATATAGCATACACGTTGGCCTTAATGTAGTCCCTGTATAGGTACTTTGGTGCCCATGTATCTCTCTATGGGTACATGGACCCTTAGGGTTAGAGAATTATAAGCATGGACTGGGCTTTGAAGTAACCAGGAAGACAGCAATAGACTTTTATTGCAAAATTGGCTTCCTTTAAGTAACAGGTCCCAAAAAGTATCAAAGTATGGTACACCAAGGCCCTGTGCATGTGTGCATGTGCGTACATACGATTCAGATACACATGAAACTACACACATCTACCTACATGCATGAGCCTCACCAACCCTTTTATCCAGAGCCCTAGCATAGAAGTGCATATAGTCCCGAAAGTCGATTGAGCCCTAAAGCCTATTCGGGCTCCCGGAACTCTTTGGCAGATCTGGAATCCCGACAACTTACCTATGGTCTCCATTGTGGTTCCTTTTTTGGTTTAACCAGTTTTATATTAAGGATCCTAAAAAGTAACCCCAAAAAGGAACTACAATGGAGACTATAGGTAGGGTTTAGGGTATGGAGATACTGGGTCGGGGTTTAGGGTCTAGGGTTAGAAAAGGAACACACCGGTTTGCACGGGCTCCATTCACAATGTCAGGAAGCCCTAACCACACAAAAGTCAAAAAGGATCCCAAACAATGACCCAGATTAGGCGTTGAGCGTCTTGGGGTGGCGGGACCATTCAGTCGATCTTTTCCTTTGGATCTGATGCAGAGCCGAATCGAACTCCTTTTCGGAGTGCCACTGAAACGGCCCATGGCGCTCACTTCTTGATTGGGCTTCGGACTCATCGGAGGCAAGCTACACCACTCCGACACTGCAGTTGACAACAGACGTTTTCAAACACGGGCATTAGGGTTTTGGACTTTGGGTTAACATAATATAGGGGCCTTAATAATTAGAATAGGGTTTTGGGGCGCATTCTACTGTAACTGTAATAAGGAACCCCCCAAACAGTATAGGCAATTATTTAGGCCCCTATAGTACATTTCAAGCACCTGGCTTGCAGTACTCTTGCAGGTAGCATGCTGGAAGGGCCTGGCATGCTGGGCAACAGCATCCCCCTAACACCCTGTGATTTCATAACCCTGCAAAAACGCGTGTAGGGCCCCGAAAACTAGGTATTAAGTCGCCAACATATGTAGGACGGATGGGGGGCTAAGTCTAGAGTTATTTACAGCTCAAACACCCCAAAGACTAAGTAGATGGAGGGTCTAAGTCTAAGGGATTTTACAGACTCTGCACCCCAACCTAGAAGTATCTTCAGATCTCTTCAGCCCAAGGATGTTTTCCCCAGTACTACCTTAACAGGGTACCCCTTTCCTATCTTCATTCATGACAATGAGCCAAGATGTAAAGAGAGCATTAGGCTACTTCTGGCAGGGGGATAGCTAGGAGAGATGACGTCCATGTGGTTTGGCTGGGAGGTATAGACATTCCCGACGGAAGAGGTGCGGCGTTCTCTCAGCTAGCGTGAACTCTTAAAACCTGGGCGGATGGAAGAGCAGCCTATGTTTCCACCGAAAATGATCTCGGGTCAAGCTTTAGATATTCGGCTTCAGCGATCCACAAAATAAACCCTAAACCCTAAACGATGCTGGGGGGCGTCAGAATTCCGACCGTTTAGCTGCTCTTCTGGGCCACCATTCAGGACACTGAACGCATGTGAGCGGAAGCTAGCGAAAGCAGCCAGTGTTTAATTCAAAAAAGAGTTCGAGCATTCGTCGGAACAGCATCGTCCTGTACACACATCTTCAACTCTTTGCGCCAGGTTGGCACAGAGAGACTTTCTGAACCTAGGCGACCCGGAAGATAGTCCCTGTCACATCGGATAGGATCCACCCCAGAAGGTTCCTTTACCATGAGACCCGACCATCGCATCCCCGTCCTACGATTCTTGCGCTACCTGTGGGCCACCTAATTCTCCGAAACATCGGCTTCCCACGAGGGGCCGTGTTAGGATTCCCGGTTCAAGATGTCCAGCTCCTCCGTGCACACAGCATTGTGATTCGTCGTGACGACCTTAGGGAAGCATTTAGGGTTTACGGTTCCTAGGTCTAGGGTGTACAGGGCTTAGGCCGTCTATCCTACACAGTGTTACACACATCAAGGCTCATATCATATCCTTGCCTTGACTTGAGAAATAGTGTAGGCACCGGACTAAGAACAAAAAGCCTGACTTCGCAGAAATGCGGCGGCCCTTGCAGAAGGGGGTTATGTTGGTCCTAAAAGTGTCATCGCTATCGAGCTTTTTGGAGGTTAGGTTTCTAGGGTCAGAAATTCTAGAGTCAGAAGCCCGATCCCCGGGAATAAACGGCGGCACAGGCGCCTTCCTGGAAATTCGGCATCCTGGTACTACCGGGGCCCAAATAATTACCAATACTGTTTTGGGGGGCTCCTTATCGTAATCATAGCATATAATGTACCCCAAAACCATATTCTAAATGTCAAGGCCCCTATAGTATTGCTTTCACGTTGGCAACAACTCACTCAAGGCTGCAAACTCTAGAAGAGCAAACCTTACGAAATCGTAAAACCGACAAAGCCATGGGACTTCAGGCAAACCGTAGGTAATACCTTGCACACAGTAACAGTGTGACAGTTTTAATAGGGCTACTATTACGTGCTACTATTCGTGCCTTATATACTTTTATTATGAGTATCACTCAACTGTTACTGTGTGGGGGAAAAGTAAGCCATGGATTAATCACACATTCGCCCTGAGGGAATCCAATATTACAGGCCTCGAGAACAGGGTGTGCACTAAAGGGTCGACATCGAGACCCGCAGACGGCTCCCCAGAGCCCCATCATACCCTATACCCATAGGCTCCATAGTAGTTCCTCTGTGGGATTACCTTGTAGGGTCGTAAATATGAGCCCCAAAAAAGAACTACTATGGAGCCTCTAGGTAGCTTTGCTTGAAAATCCTGAAAACACCTCACACACAGGCTTGACGCTAAGCATCCAAGCACTCCTGATTTCGGGACCAGGCACCAATAACCATTCAAGGACCAACTGGATCGCTAGGGTTGCAGCACATGGTCCCAAGACCCGAACAACCTAAAGACCTGTCTACTCAAGCGAAAAGCGGAACCAGACTTTCGAGTTCTTTAAGGCCTATATCCTAGTCAGGGCTGTAGAATGATGGGTTTGTAGGGTTTCGGCAAGGTCCGAAGCACAACTGACCAAGTCTGTAGTTAGACCCCAACCAATTGCACGGCGAGCGATTCTGGGACCCTGACCGCTAAACCCCGAACGCTGGGTTCAGGGTTCAATTGAACCTTGACACCCTGAACTTTCAACCCACATTCTATTCCCCAAAGTGTTGCTAGGAGGAAGCCTTAACAGAGATCGCATGGCACTTAAAAGCGAGCTCTTGGTGGGTATGATGACAGGTAGCTGCGGTGGTCTTGGTGAAGCCTGGACCTGAAATGCCTAAACCCAGAAGCCCTCCTGCCGCCCTTGTGAACACAGCATCACCGGCCACAAGCCCTCCCTTCACCCCGAGTAACCTAGGGTCTACTTTTTTTCAGGACTACTAAGGAAATCATATTCGGGAACCCCAACAAAGCACCTATAGTCTCCATTGTAGTTCCCATTTTTGGTTAACCAGTTTTATGGTTAGGACCCTATACTAGAGATTTTGGTTTACCAAAAAAAGGAACTACAATGGAGACTATAGGTAGTTTTCTTTGGGCCCACGTCTATGCTAAGCCGAGCCACTCGGGAGTACATGACCAACTGCTTCGTCGCCTCATCTACGACGGCCACCCTGCACTCTTTCCTCAGGCGCTGGAAAGTTGTTTAGTTAGGGGTTAAGGTTTAGGGTTTAGGGGTTGGGGGTTTAGGGTTTGTTTTCTCCTTGTCTCTTGCTTGGGTGTCTAGACGTACTTGTCCAAAAACTTGGGTGTTTTGGCCGGATGGAGTTTAGGGTTTTATAGTCGACCGGGGTGTTTGGCGTTTGAGAGTCTTGGCATGTCATGGCCCTACCTATAATCTTGTTGGCTACGCCAATCTTATAATTAGTTGGGATCCGAAAAGGAAACCAACAAAAAGGAACTACAATGGAGACTATAGGTAGAGTCGTGGCTCTCGGGCTGGTCCTGGGACCAGGGAAGAGTACAGTTTTCCAAATGAAAAGTCCATGAGACCTCGTGAAACCCTGACTCTAAATCCCAAACCCGCAATCCTAAAGCTCCTAAATCTGAAACCCTGAGAAAGATGCTATGAAGCCAGCGGAGTCTCCACTTGGCGACGCCTTCCGACAGGCCTTGAGGTGGAGAGGTAAGATGGGCTCTCGGGGTGTGGATGCAAAAGACAGCAGTATGAGAAGCTAGGCTGTTCAGTAACCCACTGGGAAAAGTAGGCCTCCTATTTTATAATAGGAACCCAGAAACCTAAAGTTAAAAAACTGTACCACTGAACAGCCTCGGAAGAACGGTACTTGAGACCCGAGCCTGAATAATCCTTCTTCAGCTGTTCGATCTCGTGCTCGTGGAAGAATCGGACCACCTCGTCATCCTTCTCCACCTTCCAGGGGTTATATAGGGGCCTTACTAATGAGAATAAGGTTTGGGGAGATATTGTGCTATCACTATAATACCTTCTAGGGGTGGGGGATCAGGGTTTGAGGGGTGGGTTTAGGGTTTAGGATTTCTCAAAGGGCAAACTAAAAGCCACTACAACAGCTCTATGATGTAGGAGCCCTACTAATTAGAATAGGGGTTGGGGAAATTAGTTTATTAAGGAACCCCAAAACCCTGTTCCACAGGCCCCTACATTAGGGTTTCGGGGCTTCGGGTTTTGGGCTAAGGCTGCGGGATTGCAGCTATCTCCTTCAAGGATCTTGCAAAAGTATAGGGGCCTAAATAAGTAAGTACCTACAATATTTTGGGGGGTTCCTTACTTTAACTAGAGTATCATATACCCCAAAACCGTATTCTTATCATTAAAGCTTCTACATTACACGAGTTCCTGTCCGCCTTCGGATCCTCCTGCACGCGATCACTCCAGCTGTCCAGGCTCCTGCCCCTCGGGGAAGCTGGGGGGTTTCGCCCATAGGCGAAACCAGGGTTTCTGGCTTCAAAACCTCTTTCTGAGCGTGAACATCATTTAGGATTTAGGGTTTAGGGCTCGTACATGGCTTTGTGTTGTAGTTCCGTGCCCCTGATGAGTTGTATCACTGCATTACAGTTCCCGGCACCAATCCCTACGACCCCCAAAGAGACCGGAAGGAGCACAAAGAGCTCGAATTAGATCAGCCTTCATGTTCTTTCCCTCTTCAATAACCAGGCCCAAGCAAGTTCAAACTTGTTATGACTTTTAAGATAGACCCAATACAAAAAGTTACAGAAAGGTCTATCCTGGGGCCTGCGTTTGTGCATAAGGAGTTTCTGAAGTTACGTAGGCCTTTGGATCGGGCTCGTCATGCTTACTTGCTGCTCTTAACCTTCTGTTCACGCATCTTTTGTTGAATTGATTGATGTCTGCATCGCCATGTCCAGGACTTTTGTCCTGGTGTGTTGGTTTGCTGAATTTGCTTTAGTTTCCCTTTACTGTGTTCATACACACGAGGGCTCTTTATCAACACAGGCGCTGCTTATAAACAAACGTTTCGCTCGAGGTCGGGGCTAACATCCAAGACCTGCCGCCCCCCCCAGCCCCTCACTTTCACCTCAACGTACAACCGCCGACCCATCCACCAGCCGCCCGAAACGCGTCTCAAAAGTCAAAAGTTAAAAGTTCTCCCATGGGCTATTTAATGGAAGTATTAGGACTAGAGTTGGGGTATGTGGTGCTTGGGGGTGCTACACTCAGAACAAGAAGGAGGTATCCTCACCAATTGTTTGCCCAGACCTCTAATACCAAATGCTATAGACCGGAATGCACTACGCACTAAACAATCTTAAATCTGCCCCCCCAGTCGAAACATAACCCTGCACTCCAATGGTTAGGCCAAAGATCAAAAGCCAACACCCCAGGTTCTGGTGTTCGTCTTCGCTGTGCGTCTCAGCAATCCACTTGCCAAACTCTTTCCTTGCTCGCACGCATGTTCGGGACTTGAGAGATCAGGCTTCGTGGTTGAAGCCTTGGGGTATAGGGTTTAGGGGTGTTTTGGGTTTAGGGTTTAGGGTTTTGGGCTGGGCTTTTGAGGTTTGGGATTTGGTGGTTTGGGGCTTGAGATTTGGAGTTTAGGGTCTAGGATGTTGGGCTTATCCACTATTTTCCTCCATGCCCTTTATTTTGGACACGGGATTAGAAAATACAAAAGCACAAAACCTAAATACATATTCCCTAAATCCCACAAACAATCACTACGGCCCCAAAATCCTAAACCCCTAAACCGTACATCCTAAACCCAGTAGGCACCAACACCCCATGACCCGACGGCGACAAGAAAAAGGGTTCCTATCAGGGCTCCTTAAGCACCGAAGAATCCTAACCCTAAACCCCAAATCAATGAAGCCTGTTATAAGTACTGAACCCTAAACCCAAAGCCCCTAAACCCTAAGCCCTAAACCCCTATATCCTAAACCCAAAGCCCCTAAATCCTTAAACCTTTGAACCCAAAGCCCCTAAGAATCCTGCACCCTAAATCCCTAAACCCTAAATCCCGAAGCCCCTAACACTCATAAACCCTAAATCCCTGAACCCTCAATCTGCAAGCCCCTAAGGGCTCGATGATGAACAACGACCAATGATGGGAGGCCAAAAGGGAGTTTAAGATTCTTGGGGTAGGGATTCCTTAATATGAACCCTCTTATGGGAACCCCAATCCCTACTAAACCCCCTTAGGCTAAAACCCCTTTTTGGCCTCCTACTGCTGATGGACAAAATCCTGCACGACCCTACGGACTCTAAACTATGGGAATTATGGTATCTTCCTTATAAAGGGTAATGCAGGATTTTGTCCATCAGCAGTATGAACCAAGGCACAGCTGCTCGGCGATGAAGGGATGCTTCGGTGTCGCGGCCAGGAAGGACTGGTAGAAAGGATTTCTTAGAGACTCCAATATCCCTCAATTAAGGAATATTCCTTTAATCACATAAAGGATCCTATTATAATTAAGGTATATTCCTTAATTAAGGGATATTGGAGTCTCTGGGATTTCTTAGAGGCTGAGCACCCTACGCCAAAAAAGGTTAACCTTTGGACTTATAGTAGGATCATATAAGTCCCAAGAGGTTAAAGGCTGCCTACTCAGCGACTAAGATTTTTAAAAACCGATGAGGGTTTGAGGGTCTGTAAAAACCCTCATCTGCTGGGTTTTATTGAAAACCACTGATTTCCCCAAAAAGCCGAAAACCCGAAGGGGTTTAGGCTCTAGGGCCCTATAAACCCTAAATCCCAAAGCCCCAAAACCGGAAACCCCAGGGCTGACGGCTCAGCGTTTAGGGTCTATACTTAAAGGCCCAGGGGACTTAGTAAGTAGGTTATAAGTAGGGCGATAAGTACCTTTAATGGAGTTATACCCCAATTATAACCTTACTTATAACCTACTTACTAAGTCCCCTGGGCCTCCAAGTAGACCCTAAACCCTAAACCCTATAGATCCCTTTTAAGGAGCCCTATAGATAGATCCCCTTAAGGAGCCCTTTAAGAGCCCTAAACTAAGTCCCCTGGGCCTCCAAGTAGACCCTAAACCCTAAACCCCATAGATCCCTTTAAGGAGCCCTATAGATCCCTTTAAGGAGCCCTATAGATCCCAAAAAGGAGCCCTTTAAAGAGCCCTAAACTAAGTCCCCTGGGCCTCCAAGGTTCAGGTTTTGGCATCTGTGGTTTGGGGCTTCGCAAGCTCCAAAATGAATCCACGGGGCCCGGGGGGGCGCGTCGGGTTCGAATTTGGCTTGGAGTTTAGGCTTTGGGGCTAAGGGTTTAGGGTTCAGGGCGTAGGCTTAAGGGTTTTGTAGCATTTCGGCCCCCTCACAACAACACCCTATGAATACCATTAATTGAGCTTCCACGTTACATGACACGGCCTGGTATAAGACCCCCTTTAATGGCTCCCCTCATAAGGCAGAAAATGTGTTCAAGCCTGATAGAGACCCTATATTATAGACCCTCCCTAAACCCTACCTATAGTCTCCGTTGTAGTTCCCTTTTGGGGTTACCTTTTACGATCCTTAATATGAGGTTGGTTAAACCAAAAAACGGAACTACAATGGAGACTATAGGTAAGCCCCCACATTGCCTGGAAGACGTCTCCCTTGAAGATCGATCTTGCAGTCGCGAAAGTGGTCTCCGGCTCCAACACCTTCCTCACAGAGGTTACCTTTTCGGGGCACAAGGGGGTGCTCCTTAAGGGGGGGGTCCTATGAGGGCCCGTCGATTTAGGGCGTTTAAGGCTAAGGGCTTATGTGGCCGTTGAAAGTTTGCTGGTGCTTGGAATGAGTGTATGTCCCTGACGGTTTCACAGTCCTTTGCAGAAGGAGCTAGAAGGTCTGGTGCTCTGTTGGGGCCTTGGAAACTATAATGGGTCTTCGGGTGTGTCTGTACTGTAACTATGAGAGGAACCCGAGAAACAAGACTGATTCGTGCTTATCCAGGCTCCCACATCACTATTCTAAAGCCTTGTAGAGCCCGTATAGAACGCTTATAGAATTGCCTGGACTTCAAGTGACTCTATTCTAGTTCCGGCTTCTATTTTGGGGGCCTTTGGCGTGGCTGCTAGACTAGGGTTATGAGGGTTTCGTTTTGGGGCTCTCGGTTTGGGGTTTAGGGTGTACACACATGGTATATACTGCTGGGGCGCGGAGTCCAAAAGAAAGTAATACCAGTCATGTAGGGCTGTGGTTGAGGAATACCTGTAGTCTCCATTGTAGTTCCTTGTCGGGGTTTCCGTTTAGGATCCTTAATATATAATTGGATAAGCCCAAAAAAGGAACTACAATGGAGACTATAGGTATCAATCAACAGCTTAGGGTTGCAAGGCAGTGGAAAATTATGCAGGCATTTATTTTAAGACGAAAGGTTCCAAGTCTATTAATTATACAACACGACTGCCGAGGCACAGGAAGGATGTCGGTGTCGAAGTAATAGCCTCCGTACGTGTACAGCTGCGCCAGACGACACAAGTCGGACTTAAAACGACCATTTTGGAATCGTTCGAAGCCGTCCGCTAACCTTGGTTGTTCTTTAGGCAGCCGCAAACGTGTCCGTCAATGGATACATCTGGAAAGTCAAAGCTGCAAATCAAGACTATGCCAAAGTGTCGCCCGGTAACTTATCGCCATCGAAGTCGTCCAGTTTCCGGAGCTCGTCTGTGCAGTCTTTGTCGTCGTAGAAGTACAGCTTGTCTACGTCACCATCGAAGGTGTTCACTGTGTGCCTGCAATTCTTCTTCAACACCTCGCAGGGAGTCGCAAGGAACTTCTCAGAAATTACGGCTTAGACGGTTTAGGATTTAGGGTTTGGGGTTTAGGACTCAGAGTTACAGGGTCATAGGGTGTTACAGGGTTATAGGGTTTCGGGCTTGCGGCTACAAGTGAAGACGCTGTCAAACCCTTTCAAGTCAAAGCACTTGTGAAACCCTCTACACACGCTTTTACATAGTCTGCAAGCCGCTTTAACTCCCGAAAATTGAAAATTGAATCAAGAACGCCCTAAACCCTAAACCCGAAACTCTGAACCCAAAGCACTCTTCGTCAAACAACCGTAACACAAGAGCCTGGAGCAAGTCTTTGTCGTCTTCCGACTCATCTTCGAAGTCATAGCTGTCGTCGTAAATATGCAAGTTGATCCTAGGTTCGATCCTAGGGCTTTTCGTGCTTCTATGCAGGTGTGAAGGGTTTAGGGTTTAGGGCGCTTGATCCTGGGGTTTTGAGGGTTACCACAAAGCATACTATGAGGCGCTCCTATACAGCAGCTTGTTATTCTCGGGTTCCCAGAGACTCCAATATCCCCTAATTAAGGAACATACCTTAAACTATAATCGGATCCCTAATCTGATTTAAGGAATATTCCTTAATTAAGGGGTGTTGACCCTAGGCTCACGAGTCGGGCGACTCGGGAGTCTCCGAAAATAGGGGATCCTCATGTGGTACCCTAAATAGTAGGATCCTTATTATAAAGATCCCCCAAAAAGGTACCCCTAAAATTCGGAAACTCCCACTTAGTAAGCAGCTAACAAGTAGACCTCTCTAATCTAAGTACCCTGAAGGGGATCCTAACATCTGCTTATGATACATATAATTAGCTAGCTAAAGCAACTGCGCAAGGTGACCCTAGCGGGCTTTTGTAGTTGAACTCCTAAACCGTACACCCCAAGATCCGCTCCACAGGATCTTAGACTTGAAATGCTACGGTAAGCCCCGACCATGGCAGCCATAGGGTTTAGGGTTTAGGGTTTAGGATTTAGGGTGCAATCCTAAGACCTTGCAGCCCTAAGCCCTAAGCCCCTTCGAGTCCTGTAACTGAAAACCTAAACCCTGAAACCCTAAACCCTCAAAACCCCGACACTCAAAGTATGGGAGCCATAGGATCTTGTAGCTGAACTCAAAGGGTCCTATGTACCTCTATAGTAGAATGTAGGGTCTCTATATTTGGAATTACTTTTATGGTCCAGGCAAGTACCCCCCACAACAGTACATAGGACCCTTTGGGGAAAGAAGCCCTAAACGCAAACAAGTACGGGGGAGCCCAGGGTCTTGTAGTTGAAATGAACGATTGCAGGAATTTTCGGGCTGTTCCCAGCCGATCTCCGAGTCGTGAGCAGTGCCAGATCCTCCACTTCCGGTGCCTCTTTAGGGTTTGGCGTTTAAGGTTCTTTTGGGGTTCGGGTGTAGGGTTTAGGGTTTAGGCGTTCTTAGAGGGTTCCTTTGAGAGATCCATAAGGGGATTCTACGGGGTTCTACGGCTTAGTATAGGGTATATTGGCTTTTCGTGTCGGGTTCAGGCTTCTCGGCCCAGGGTTTCCAGTTATGATAGGGTTTACCTTACCTGTGAATACATACCTTTTCGGGTTCCTTGTTCTGATCTCCTTTTATAAGTCCTTAAAAGGGTAGGTTATTCCGGGTTAAGGTAGGGTTTTCGGTTGCGGACGCAACTTGGCAACTACTTCGATGCGACTATGTGTATGTATACATGTATGCACCGATACACATGCATGTGCCTGTACATAGGTGCACATACAGTACATGCGTATGACCCATAGTGATACTGATAACAACAGATGGCAACAGTGATTGCAAAAGCAATAGCCACAGCAATAGCCCTGCCAACACTAGTGGCGATAGAACCAGCACCCGTAATTGTTGGTAATGACAACTGTGGTGGTAATGCTGGTACTGGTACTGGGAAAGAATAGGAGAAATCGTAAACTCGTAAACCAACAAATACATGCATACGTCCATGTACATACACATTTGTATACATATGTATATATATATATATATATGTACTCATGTAATTCAATACTTAAGTACTTATCTAAACAAACAAATAAGTATTCAAGTATGCAGTTTGAATCCTGCAACCCGGACACTCCAAAACCAAAAGCCCTCCTGCTCAAAACACAACACAGAACACGGCCCTAAACCCCAAAGACTCACCACTACAAGCCTACACGCCAACCGCTAAATCCGACTGTCTGAACCCCAAACTGAGAAGCATTTGAATCAAAACCTTGTCTAGGATACCCAGTAACCTAAGAACAAAAATGCCTCTCTTTTTGGTATTGGGTAACTTTATAAGGAACCTAGGACTACAAAAAGGGAAGAAGGGTACTACTGGGCATCCTAGTTGTTGTTCCCTTTAAAAGAGCCCTTAAACTACTATTTGCTTAAGAACACCCAAAAAACAAAAAATATATTCCTTATAGGGATAATATAGGGATTAGCATTCTTTATTTTTTGGGGGGTTCTTAAGCAGATAGTAGTAAAGGAACCCTTAAAGGAGCCCTGAAAGAACCCCTTATCGGACGCTTAGTCTGCCGGGCCTCCTGGGAAAATGCAGCGGGACACTGGGAAGCCAGTCCAGCAACGAGGGCCCAAGGGAAGTGACGCCACATGAAGGGGATCGCACTCGGCTGCCTCCGATTGGATTTGGTAACTTTCGTAGCTCGTTTGGTTTCTGTCTAGTCTGTAGAGACGTCCTACTACCTACTATGAGTGCACTAAAGGCCAAGCCCTTAAACCAGGAAGATTCGAAAATGAACAGATATTCGGCTGCACTCAAAGCTCCGGTTTACTCCTTCTTTGGACAGCCCCTACGGGGTTTCGGGTCCGGCACTAGGCTTTCTAGAGTCTAGAGTTCAGGGTTTAGCGTCTAGAGCTTAGGATATAGAGTTTAGCCTTCAACAGCGTATAGAAACTGAACCCGAAGCCTTACCCTAAGGGTCCATGTACGCATATAGTATATACTTTGGCCTTAATGTGGTCCCTATATAGGTACTTTGGGGCCCATGTATATCCTATTTGGGTACATGGACCCTTAGGGTTACCTGTCATGCCTGGAACCTGGAAGTCCCTACGCCCGGCTCCTTGAAACCTCGAGCCTCACCCCCAGACTCTGCCCCCCCCCCCCCCCCCCCAAACAGTCACAAAAAAAAAAGATTTAGGGTTTAGGGGTTTAGGGTTTAGGGTTTCGCTGTGAGTCTCCATATTGCTAAAACCCAAGCAAAACCCACCAGCAAGGCTTGATTGAAAATTTACACTCGAACCAAGCCTAACCAAAACTACCCTTCTGCTGAGGGTTTAGGGCAACCCTGAACCTTAAAACCCTAAACCCCCAATCGTCATAACCTAACTTTTGGAGGCGCTTACGTGTATTGTAAACCCCAATAAAAACTGACAATGTAATCCTACAGTTACAGAGAAATAACAGCAGGTGTTGTTACGTAGGTTAAAGTTTGCAAATCCCAGCCATCGACGGTTCTTCAACATTAAGGCCCGTTTCAACCCTAAACACTACACATTTTCAGGCCCTTGAACCCTAAACCCGAAACCCTACACCCTATTCTGCATATGAAGGCTCCTAAACCCTAAACTTTATTCCACATATTAAAGCCCTTGAACCCTAAACCCGAAACCCCACACCATATTCTGTATATTAAGGCCCCTAAACCCTCAACCTTATTCTGTATATGAAGGCTCCCAAACCCTAAACTCTGTTCCACATATTAAGACCCTTGAATCCTGAACCCTATTCTACACATTTAGGCCACTAAACCCTATAGACCTTAAACTCTGTTCTAAATTTTCAGGCCCTTGAACCGTAAACCCGAAATCCTACTCCACACATGAAGGTATTAGAGCCCCTAGACCCTAAACCCTATTTTACATGTTGAGGCCTTAAAAACCTAATCAAACCGACCCTGCTCCACACAATAAGAAAATACATTAATATTCTCCTTGGCTTATGTGTAAAAATAAAAACAAACTAAGGAGACTATAGTGAAGGCCCAGTGGCTTGGCGGCCCGATGCGAGGCTTCTGCTACGGAGGCGTTTGATCCTGCGTCTCCCGGGTCCTGTCTTTAATAGGGGCCTTCATGTGCGTGGAATAGGTTTCTTTTTTATAGGAAGGTGACTCTTACGCCTGCCCGAGTCGAGCTCTTCCAAACTAAAACACAGGAATAGGGTTTAGGGTTTGGGGGGTTATAGGCCCAGGGTTTCTCAATCAAGTTCCAACATTAGGGGCCTTCATGTGTGTAGAATAGGGTTTAGGGTCTGAGGTTTTAGGAGCCTTCATATGTAGATTAAGGGGTTTAGGGTCGATGGGCCTTCATATACAGAATAGGGTGTAGGGTTGAGGAGCCTTCATATGTAGAATAGAGGGTTTAGGGTTTAGGGGCCTTCTTAATTTGTGGCATAGGGGGTTTAGAGTTAAGGGCTTAGGACCTTCATGTGCGGAATGGGGTTTCGGGTTTACGGTTCAAGGGCAGCAATATGTAGAATAGAGTTTAAGGTTTAGGGTTCAGGGTTCAGGGTTTAAAGCTCATAAGAGCCTTAAAAAGTAGAATAGTGTTATACTAGTCTCTTGGAAGTTCGGTTAAGGTCTCTATGATTGTGCTTCGGGTTGGGAGCTTGAAACAAGTTCTTCAACAAGGGCCCGTTAACCGTTAAAGGGTTACTACAAAGGTTGCATTGAGGGGTTCCAATCCTAACCTAAACTCGAGAAGCTGAAAATCTGGGTCGAACAGGGTCTTGAAAGTCGTGGAATCGAGGGCTTTATGTGGGGGGCGGGGGGGGGGGGGGCGGGGGCTTGGTAGTTGTGGTAATATTTCGAATTGGGATGGGGAACAAAACGGTAGAATCCTACTTGGCTGCCAGGTTAGATTTAGGGCTTCACACCCGAAGCTCTGAGCCCTAAAACCTAAACCCTACACCTCAAACCCACATCCGAAAACCCGAATACTGAAGCCTCAAACCGTGAGCCGCGAGCCCTACGACTTCAGTCAGCACCGTCTCTGGAGGTCTGAAGCATGCTTTGGGTGAAGGGTTCAGGGCTTGTCGTTTTGGGGTTTGTAGGAGGCTCCGGTTATAGCGGGTGGGGATTTAACGTTTGAAGGCTCAGGCTTTGGGGCGTCAAGAGTCGATTCCAAGTGTCAGAGTTTCAAAGATTTTTCTTCCACTTGCTGATCATTCACCCTAAGCCTCGGGAAGCAACACTTCTTGAATTGACCGACATGGTAGCTGGAAGCAGGCCCATGCGTAGCTGGAGCTGGTCAGAGAGCGACTGTTTAGTGAGCTGCAACCCTATCCTAACAGTATAGGGCTTCGGGAAAGGGTTTGAAATCGGATCATGAAAGCTGTCCGTCCAGTATTGCCACAGTCATCAGGCTGCGGGGTACCTTTGTCTCCTATGATTGCTTGGTTTTGTCAAGGAGACCCCGAAGAAATGGGGCACCCTGAAGGGAACCCAAGCCAAAGGCTCGAACGCCGAGAGCTTGTCCGGCATCGTGGCTCAACACCGGCCCCATTTTCATCGCAGCTCCCACAGGGATCGGACACCCCCACTTGACCCGACACCCTAAACCCACAGGGGCTTTCCACCAAAACTGGCTCCAAACAGGGTCGGTGGCTTTGCCAGTCCCTGTCGAACCGCCTCGGAACTCTTTTCGAGGCTCTAAAGCTTGTCTATACTCGCGGGCTCAGAGGACTCGCAGAGGCCGTGTGAAGCCAAGTTATACTACCCATGGTCGCCATGTCCTATAGGATCCTACATCTAAAATGGGTTTAGGGTTTAGGGTTAAACCCAAAAGGCAAATTAACGGCTCTGCAGCAACAGTGGAGTGCAGAAAAATCGTGTCTGTCTGGCTTTGGGCAACAAGGTGCCTGGCAAGCAGCATTGGGGATGACAACTCGGGTTGTAAGCGCTACTGCGCAGATGCTTATGTACCTGTCGCCTCATTGCTGAGTCCCCTTGTCCTGTAAGTGCTCATGGAATGGGCGTTTCAGAAAGTACGGGTTGGGTACAGCCCCCACTCAGTAATTACTGGTTGAATACTATTCATAATATAGATATATTCGGACCTTAATAATAGCCCTATTATAGACTCTTCCTGTATAGGGGCAGTACCTAGAGTACGGGTTTAAAGGAACCGCGGGGTCCCTCTGCTGGAACCCCTCGGATACAGAATCCAGAGACTCCATGAATCATACTAGGGATCCTACCAAGTATAATCTAAGGTATATTCCTAACTTACTGATACTTACTAGAATTTAAGGTATATTTTCCATAATCATTGCTATTATAAATAATGTAAGGTATACGCCTGATATTAAGGGATCTTAGAGTCTCTGGGAAGCCCGGACACCGGGTTTTATCATCGTCGCGTGCTCGCAGCCCCCGCGGAGTCTCGGGGGGACTGCCACGACCTAGCGACTCCCAAGCTCCGCCATCAAGGAACGTACTATAAGGGCCGTAACCCCAAGGGTCTGAAGGACCCAATAATTAGGTACTCGGTTTTGGGATAATAGTTACGTAGATTAGGATTTTGGAGAGTATATGATTATTGGGTACTTAGACCCTTGGGGTAATGATTAGAGTTCCTTTTTGAAGGGGTCTAGAAGGGCTAGTACAGGGGATACTCTAATGGTACTCTAACAGGAACGTACGAAAGGGGCCTTATACTATAAGGGCCTTAAAAGTAGGGTTCCTTTGTAAAGGGGTCTATAAGGGCAAGTATAAGGGATACTAGAACTGTAGGGGCCAATTAAGGTCAGAGTAGGGTTCCATTTTAAAGGGCTCTATAAGGGCCTTATACTATAGGGGCCTTATACTTTGGGGGCCAATTAAGATTGGAGTAGGGTTCCTTTTTAACAGGGGTCTATCAGGGCTAGTATAAGGGATACTAGAAGGCTACTCTCATACAGGGGCCTTAATAACCAGAATAAGGTTTTGGGGCCCATGAAGTCATAACTGTAAGAACGAACCCCCCAAAAATAGTATAGGCAATTCAAGCCCCTATATGAGTAACAGACTTCTTCCTCAGTTCGCTGATGCGTATTGAGTCTCTGGGAATCTATGACTCCTCGTCGCTGTGAGGCTGCTCCAGAAAATTCACGATCAGCTTTTTCTCCTCGGTGCACGCCTGATCATTCATGGTCGAGATGACCTGGCCACGTTTTACTTAGGGTTCAGGGCTTGGCATTTGGCGACACAGACGACAACCACAGGGCCTGGCGTAGATTATGAGAAAGACGTTGCAGGAGACTTCATGAAAGAAAGGGCCCAGTGGTAAATTTGTACACGGCAGGCTACACAGGAATTGGTACCCCTCAGTCCGAAACCTTTGTAAACCCTTCGCCCTATAATTAATCCGACACCCTCAACCCCCACATCTAGTCCGCTGTGAAACCCTTCAAAATCCCTTAAAGGATGCCTTACAGGAAGCCTCTTAAAAAATCGGAATCCCTAACAGCAATCAACTTTTAGCCGCCCCCCCCTCAGGACTGACGAAACGATCGCCAAACCCCGCTATTGTGGTGGCTGGAAAATAACATTCCGGGACTTGTGGTTTGGAGCTTAGGGTTTAGGGAAGACCCCACAGCATTCCAGCATGTACAACACCGGTAATGATGTGGAATGAAGGCTGATGAGGCTGCAGGATGAAGTTATACGACTTGAAGAGGATCACTTGCACCCGCCCTGTGAATACCAAGAACGGGATATCGCATGCTTTGGTGAGGTGAAGGTACTGCGGAGTGATTATGTCCCTAAACCCTAAACCCACAGTCTTCAGACCCCTGAATCGGTCCATCCGGCGTTCCAGCCCCTGGCAGCAGAGGCACTCTGGGATACATCACCACCTCGTCCGTGTCCTGATCTACCACCGCAATGTTGCAGTCGTGCCTTGGTATTGAACTGACACACTCGGCCGCTCTGAAAGAATCACGGGTACAATCACGGTCGCTGTAGCTTCAAGCACTTTACCGCAAACTTCACGCCGGTTTGAGCACTTCTATTCCCACACATGGCTACACATGAGCTCTCACGCTCCTTGCAAAACATTCAAGGTCGGGATGAGCCCCAAGACATGCAGAACCCCATAACCGGTTGCGAGGCCTAAGGTTTCTATACCCTACCCTTCAACCTCATATAGTATACCTGAATGGACTTCTGCCTCCCAAAAAACCCTAAGGAAACCCCGGAAGTGATCCTGAACTCAGCTATATATTGCAAGCAAGGATCCACTTCGAATGGCCAGGCATCAGACCTGTCAGCAGGGTTTACGGGCTGAGCTCCGAACCCTTCAAGCTCTTTGTAAACCTCGATGAGACCCTATTTAGCTGGGGACTCTAACCAACTCCACACAACAGTCGCACAATTCCATGTGTATATATATATATATATACATATATATAGAGAGAGAGAGAGGGTTTAAGAGTTTAGGCCCCTTTTGGTTGTTGCTGTTGCGCCGCTGAATTCGTCTGGGATGGGTGGTGTCGGAGGATCTTGAACCCCAAGCCCTCAGACCTAACCACTCGATGCTGCCTCAAAAGAAAACTACAAAACAAACCACAAAAGACCTACTGTCTAGCATGAAGACCCAGTGTGCACCTGAAGCCACCGCGCGACTCTCTGATCATGCTATGTGTTGTTCCTTATTCCTGGATGTGGCTGTTCGGATAAGTACTTTCCTAGCCGCTTTCAGCGAGATCATTTCGCTTAGTTGTCCGGCGACCTATGTCGACCCATGTTCTTGTGCACGACTTTACTGAGCGCATAAAGATAGCCTCTGAAAAAGCCAAGCTCTGCATGCGCCACATGCTTCAGCACGAAGGATTCGTTCCAAAAGTCATATAGAAGAAGGCACCCCCCCCAACTCTTCCACGAGCCCGAAGCCTAATGCAGCAAATTCGGCTTCATAAGCTTGAAACCCTGCACCCTAAACCCCTAAACCCAGGCCCAAAAACATAAATTCGGAATCATTGGAAAGCGCCCTCGGCCTGAGACGGCTTCCTTCCCTTTCTTCCAGAGCTTAATGCTGTTCTCCTCTTCACTGAATTAAGGAACATCTTCTTGTGGGCTCTGTGAAGTCCTTCACGGATTCTACCGGGCTTCTATAGATTGCGAATATACAGAATTATGCTGGGGTTGAGCTTTAAAGTGCCTGTTTTGTGTTGCTGCACTACTGTATGCATGTATGTACTGGTACATACATACATATATATATATATATATATACATATACATGCATGCATGCATGCCCAAACAAGCTCGTCGTTCGTGTGGTCGACGGTTCAGCCGTAAATTCCAAAACACCCGCCACCTCTCACAAAGACACGCAGCCCGGAGCATCAACACAAACTCCGAACACGAGCCTGAACCCCCCAAACCGCTTTGCCAAAAAGTAACAAAACCTTAGCTTAGTCCAGCGTAACAGCCCATAAAAAAGAACTCATTGCAACATCAAGCTATGTCAAAACCCCCAACAAAGATGTCAATCATAAACCCCCAAACCATGTCGTTCTAAAAACATCTTAAACCAACCGACCCCTCCAAAAGACGTGAACAAAAGTCAACCCATGAACCCTTTCCCAAAAGAAACGTCAAATACTATGATGGTGTCCTTGCAGCACCCCTGCAGTACCATTTTTTGGAACTCTTCAAGGATTGAAAACCATAAACCCCCATCCCCTCTTAACTAAGAAACAAACAAAACAAATAAGTATCATGCTGACCCCTTCACCCGGCATTGAGCCCGAAGCACAGAGCCCTACCAACAGAACCCTACCATAGGACCCTCCTAGGACTCCTAGGACCCAAACAGGTCAAACCTTCGTTCCCCGTATTCTAGCCTTAGACCCTATGCCTCACCCACAAGTCCACGAAAGCAAAAACAAAAACACAACACACACACACACAAAAAAAAAAAAAAAAAAAAAAAACAGCACCAAAACCCTGTCTTCAAGTCCTGGAAGAGCCGGATCTTCTGTTTGCCCGCGACCACGTGGCTCGCCTTTTTGAACTCGCTTCCCATCTCCTGGAGGCTTCCCCACCTGCTTAAAGAAGAGGAGTCCTTTAATGATTACCCTAAGGCTCCTAAGAAGGTTAGGGGCTTTGTGGGCGAGGGTTTGGGCTTTGGGGGCTACGGTTTAGGATCTCACTACGAGGGTCCAGGAGCATTAGGGTAGAGTAGGGTTCCTTTAATCAAAGGACCTATTTTTAAGGGTTGCTATCCGGGATACTACAAGCGCTCTATGATATGGGGCCCTTAAAGAGTAGAATAGGGCTTGGGGGCCCACTCTACGATATTTATAGTAAGGAACCCCCAAACTAGTATAAGTATAGGTAATTAATAAAGGCCCCTATAGTAAATTAGTAAACCAAAACAAGGTTTGCTTATAAATTTATAAAATTGAACTGCACCCCCTCCAGAGTTGCTACTGGGCTCTTGAGGGCTTCAAAATGGTAGTGCAAGCTAGGTTACCGGGTAACCCCTTACGAGTGTGTGCACCAGCTTTGGTAGATTGCAAGTACAAATACGAAGATCCGAAGCGTGAAAACAAGGTTTAGGGGTTTAGGGTCTTAAATGCGCGCCTACGAGCTTTACTAGGCTTCTGGCGCTTCCACCTGCCTCAGTTTTTGCCGTGTAAGGCTTGAAGGCTCTGGGACGGTTTTTTCGAAGGCGTGTGAAACCCTTCCACTCGTGTTCTGTATGGACTTTCGAACTAAGGGCTTTGTACTTTACAGGCCGCATGATAGTCCCGCACGATACACGTATACTGCGAAACCCCTTTGGCACCCTGCAAGAACCTCAAAAGTCACCCCTTAAAGGAAGTTTGCTAGGAGCCTTTATAGATCCCGGAGGAGCCCCTGGAGGCAGTAGGTTTGTTATCGAAGGTCTTCAGTACTAGATAGTTAATACTAGTTACGCAAGCCCTGCTTGTAAGCTCCTAGGCCTTCAACCCCCGAGAGCCTAATACACAATAGATGAGGAGTAAACCTCAATTTGCAGGGTGCTTGATATTGCTTCTTAAGATACGCACTCCTCATTTTACGGGCATTCATCAAACGGGTGGCAAAAACAGGCTCTATATATACATACATACATGCATACATACATCTGCGTGTGAAATTGTAATCAGGACAACCCTCCGAATTTGTGTACCCACAACGGCCCTGAACCCACTCTCTCATAAACCGACGATGCTTCGCGGTTTAAAGGCTGCATGCTTTGCCGGGATTGCGGCTTCCTTAAACCATCCCCAAATAGGCTGTCCGAGGCTCATGAGGTGTGGTCCGATGTTGCTACCCTCTGAGTTGTGCTGCCGTTTCTGGAGCCATTCCCCGAAGATTCGCCTCAGAGGGGTAGCGCGGACGGAGGCCTACTTGGCCTACCCGCATAGAAAACCCCTACTATACAGCACCCTTAAAGGAAACCCTGTAGATCCCTGAGAGGAATCCCTTACAGGTTCAGCACGGAAATTTAGGTTTGTCTGGGACGCGACTTAGGGTGGCTGCAGACTTAGGACCAATGGTTCCCATACTTGGAAGCCAGACCGAAAGAGCGACTTTACACCCAACAAGCCTCCTCAAAAAAACCCTAGGATTTGGGGTCCAGGAGTTTAGGGTTTACAGTAACTTACTTGCTTATCCGCAGCTTGCCGTGGCCATGAAGCTGGGTGGCAAGTTTTTACCGATCAGCTCGTTGTGCGGTGTTGCCGCCAAGAAGGCCTGGACCAATCAAAAGGTGTCGGTGTATATTCTGCTACATCTATGGTATTTACGGAAAAGAAACACGACTACTTATGTTGTCAGTTTTCCGTAATATTACGCAAAGCCCCTTGTAAGAAGCCTGTTCTAGAAACCTTTGTAAAGACACCCTTACGCAACCGTTTATAAAGAAACACTTGTACAGACCTTTGTAGAAACATTTAGAATTACACGAAACTTTATTGAAACACGTGTACAACCCTTTCGAGAAACCATTATGCAAACTTTCAAGAGTGACGTTCTGCAAAAGGCGACGATGCACCTGGAAAATCTCCTTTCGGCACATCGAGCGGACAGTGGCAAAGGTCGTGTCAGGGTCCAAGTAGTCCTGGATTGTGCTTAGGGCCTAGACTAACTTTTTAAGCGGGTTTTGGGGAATTTCCGAAAATAGGGGACCCAAATATAGTACCCTAAATTGTAGGATCCTTAATATAAGGACCCCACAATAAGGTACCCCAAATTTTCGGAAACTCTAAACCCCTGTAGAGACCCTGAAAGGCACCCTTATAGCAACCCTTTTCAGGAACCCTAAGGTATATACCCCTCCTTTTCGGAAACTCCCATATGGTTTTGGCTTGAGGTTTTCTGGGTTAGCAGCTCCAGGTTTCGGGATTAGCCGTTAGGGTTCAGGGAATTGGGGTTTAGGGTTTAGGGGTTTAGGGTTTAGGGTTTAGGGGTTTCGGGGATTAGGGTTTAAGGTTGAGGGTTTAGGGTCTACGGGTTAGGGTTAAGGGGTTTAGGGTTTAGGGGTTTAGGGTTTTAGGGGTTTAGGGCTTTAGGGTTCAGGGTTTAATTAGGGAATATAGGGTTCAGGGTTTAGGTTTGTTGTTTAAAACCACCCGAAACAGTGTCGTACATCTAGACCCAAGAAGGCAAAGCGGACAAAATGCTCCAACGGCCTACCTAGGGTCGCGCATGGACTTGACTGGCAAGATGTCCTTGGCTGAAGCTCTTCATAAACGCAAAACTCTAAGCCTCCTTACTACAAAGAATATACCCGGTGCCTCCAAACAGACATGATAGACCCCAAAGTTGGTGCTGGTTGTATAGATTGGAGCCTTCGGAATAGAAAACAAGCAAAAACCAAGCAGCCGCACCGAACAGAGCCGAGAGTCTGTATCAAAGTAATACCCCCCATACCTCCAGAGTTGGGCCAGGCGACAAAGATCTGATTTATACCTCAAGGACGACATGACTCTCAAGCCAGTAGAGAGAATGGAACCTTACCTGTGCCCTATGTCCCCCATGATGACTTGCTTCTAGCTCCAACGATACGAAAGGGTAAGCTCCGCTAGGAGGACTCCCCAATCTTCCTCATAGATCCGAAACCCAATACCCTAGAGGCTGAGCACCCTAGGCCAAAAAAGGTTAAGGTAGAAGCCAGAAAGTTGGAATATGATTATCCTAACACTTCTATGGTTAATAATAGGGAATCCTACCATGAAACCATATTCCAACTTTCTGGAGTTCCCTTTACGGGTTTAGGGTTTCTTGTTTTGTTGAGGGCCTTTTCTGTCGCACGAGCTCCAAAGACCATGTCTGGGCAGGCTACGGTTCGCAACACTGAAACTCAACCCTAGGCTTTAGGGTTTAGGCTTTAGGGTTTAGGGGTTAACCTTTCGAATCATAGTAGGATTATAAACGCCATAAAAGGTTAAAGGTTACCTACTGAGCCCCTAAGATACAGACTGTACACCCTAAGCCTCATTTAAACAACGAAGCCGTCCCCGGAAGATCCTATGGGGACCTTCATTCATAATTCGACTAGTATTCCTAAACGTCACCGAAGAATTTTCCTTCCAGTGGGCTAGACCGATTATACCCGCCAAACCCCATTATTCCAAATACTAAGGCATTCTAAACAGTAAGCACTTCTAGTATTCTGACTACTAACCCTAAGGGTCCATGTACCTAAATACTATATACATTGGCCTTAAAGTAGTCCCTGCAAAGGTACATTGGGGCCAATGTATATACTATTTGGGCACATGGACCCTTAGGGTAAGGCATCGAACCGGAACCTTTGTTTTTTTCAAGGTGCTTGCCATGGCGAAGGCTGAGGAAACCTTCGGCGAGCTGGTGACCATTAAACCTTGCTTGAGGGTGCGGGTTTAGGGTTTGAGGGCCTTAGGTTTCGGGGTTTAGAGTTTAAGGGGCTGGGGTTTAAGGGTTTATTAGAGTTTAAGGGGCTTAGGTTTAAGGGTTTAGGGTTTGACGGCCTTAGGTTTCGGGGTTTAGAGTTTAAGGGGCTTGGGTTTAAGGGTTTATTTGAGTTTAAGGGGCTTAGGTTTAAGGGTTTAGAGTTTAAGGGGCTTAGGTTTAAGGGTTTAGAGTTTAAGGGGCTTAGGTTCGAGGGTTTAGGGTTTGAGGGGCTTAGGTTTAGGGGTTTAGGGTTTAAGGGGCTTAGGTTTAGGGGCTTAGGGATCTAGGGTGTTTATATAGGGCTTAGGTTTAGGGGTTTAGGGTTTAATTAAGGGGCTTAGGTTTCGGGTTTAGGGTTTACCCTTTAGGGCTTCGGCTTAGGGGCTTAAGGGGTTTTAGTGGGTCTAGGCTAGGATTCAGCGCCAAGTAGCTGATGTAATTTTTTGAGCTCTTTGACGCACTGGTCGTCATCGTAGAAGTGAACCTGTTCAACATCGCCTCCGAAGAGTGCAATCGTATGCCTTAGCTGCAGACGTCACAGGCCAAGAACAGGACACACATTACTTTGCTAAGAGGTTTCTATGATCCCCATACTTTAAATCCAAGGGTAAAAGGGGGACCCTTAATAAGGACCCCTAGGTATATAACCTTTCTATAGCTATTGTATACCCATTGTATAGCCCATGTTTGGGCAAGGGTCCCCATTAATGGTCCTTCCTTTTCCCCTTTGATTAAAACCTACCAAGTCAACTACGGGGATGCTTGACGTTCTTCAGCACAAGCTTGTGCAACGGATCCGTCTTCAGCTGTGCCTTTGAGGCGTTCAGCAGATTGAACTTGTAATTGAAGAGAACGATCGGAGGAATCTTGATGTCCTCTTCGGCTTAGGGTGTAGGGCTAAGACTAAGAGTTCATAAACCATGAAGCCGTCTAAGCTTGAGTAAGAAGCTTTAACTCCTACAGAAGCAGCTTCAACAAACACAATAAGTTTATTGACAGCCCTAATTACAAACCTTCTCAGAACTCACTTAAAGTGACCCTAAACCCTTGAGCCCCCCACGTCCTTACGATGTGGCTTGTGAGGAATTCCACGCTGAGCCAGCAGAGCCACGCCTTCAACATCCGCGCCGTCCTTCTTCAGGATTAAGGTATTGCTCTTGCAAGGAGAATAGACAGGATACTACCTATAGCTTCCATTGTAGCAAAATTTTGGGGTTACCTTATAGAATCTTAACTAAATATCTGGTTAAACCAACACAAGGAACTACAATGGAGACACAAGGTATTTCCTGTTATGGTTGAGGGTGTCTGCTAAACTCCTTTCGCTGTCTGCCTGTTACTATCCAGGATCAGGTTCCAGGGATTAGGGCCTAGGGTGTTCGGGTTTAGGGTGTAAGGTTTAGGGTGTTCGGGTTTAGGGTGTACCTTCAGCCGCGATCCCTAGGACGAGTTGATTAGAGAGCACCTCCAACAAGGACAAGTCAGGTCCAATCTGGTCCAAGCCGAATGCTTCAAGGGTACGTACCCTGTATTGCCCGTTTCAGTTTGACAAGGGAGTTAGGGCTTAACGTTTGTAAGAACCCCACAGCTTGTTTATGAAACCTTAAACCACAGTGAAGAGACCTCGGCCACCACACATTGTGTGAGAGTAGCCAATGCTAAGGTCCAGAACAGGCAAAGAAATCGGTTCGAGGCCATGGCGCCCAAAACTCTACTCGCCTTCCTACGCTCCCGGAATCGTGAATGCTTCAGGGCCTCGAAATGCCGGCAGAAGCTCAATCCATGCACTTTAGTGTATGGTTGCCTGAGACGCAGCTCGAAGTATGCCTAGATGCATCCTTGAAGCACAAGCAGTACTATATAGTATAGACAGGTAGACGGACAAGACAATAGATCACAGTTCATACTTGCACAAATGTGAGCAGGTGTGTCGTAACAGTGGCACCGAGATGTGAAATGCGTGGCACCCTCCTCATAGACATGATATATATATATATATATATGTATATATACATACACACATATATATATATATATGCAGTATAACCTACAGGCATATATGCATCATACATACATGCGTCATGCGTACATGCATGCGGCAGACAGGCAGGCAGGCAGGCAGGCAGGCAGGCAGGCAGACTCAATTACATTCACCGTTCAGCCTGCTTCGCTGATGTTGGTGGTCCTGCTGTCTCCATCAGCATTCCTGGACTCGGTTGTACCTGCCAGCTGTTAGCAAAGCGAAACCAGGAGGTAAGGACGCGTGAACGGAGTCAGATCCGTATGGTGCAGTAGTTTCCGCATAGTAAGGGGACGTAGTCCGCAGTTGGTAGAAATCCCGATGTGTTGTAGAGTTAAGTCCACAATATGTGTGTATATATACATATATATATATACATACACATACACACACTCACCACTATTGTTTTGGGAGTCCTGTTATTATATGCATTCTTCGAAATCACTTACCAAGAGGAATCCTCCCTCATATGATCGATAAGAGCAGCACCAGCCGCAGCAGCACTTGGAGAGCGAAGTTGCTGGCCTCAGGGTTTAGGCTTCAGAAGTCTGGGGCTTAGGATTTAGGGCCTAGGAAGTTGGCGTGTAGGGTTTCGGGTGGAGGTTGAATGTGGCTTGAGGTAAGGGTTTCAATGAATTTGCGCGGGTCTAGAAGAAGGATGTGCAGCGGTCTTATATAAGGGTTTTAGAACCAATGAACATATCTAGTCGGTTTTTTGTCAGGAAAAGCTGGCATATCCAAAAGGTCCTTGAAGAAGCAGCATCTCACTGTGCGAAAAAATGATGATGCTCTTTGGCCGGGCATGTGTGGCAGTCAGTTTTCGGTGTTATGCAGGCTGAACCGGCTGTAAGCCCTGCTTCTCGGGATGCGGAATCCCATAGATCCCGGGTTCGTAAGAGTGCTTGTGTGCCTTGATGTACAAGTTGCATAAGTATAGGGCGATATGGGAGTCGTTTTTTGGGGTGTTAGTTGAAATCTGTAAATGTGAAGTGGTCTCGTTGCTAAAGCCCTTCTCTGCAGAGTCCCTATAGGATTTCATGGCTATCGAGTTAAGGTCATAGAGATGCAGTTCCAAAAGGTCTTTATAGGTTCGAAACGGCCTTATGGCTTTCATATGGCTTTGCATATATGGCTTTGCATATGTGGTTTCTTAGACCTGGCGATACGTTATATCCTGAGATTGTAGATCATCTTGATCTCCTGCCCCCCATCGTAACCTCATGTTCGGAGTGTCGGGTTCGACCTGCTATATTTTAAAACAGAATCCTTAATTATGGAATGTTGGAGTCTCTGCCTTCCCTAAACCCTACCATGACCTACCTTTTTAGGGACTTGTATAAGGAAATAATCTTAAGGAGCACTGAAGAGTTAGGTTTCTTCTTAGGGTCAAGGTAAGCCCTAAACTCTAAGCCTAACCCGAAACCCGAGATTCCCACACCTAAACTTTAAGCCCTTAACCCTAAGCCCTAAACTCTAGGCCCTAAACTCTGCCGGGACCCCTTAAAAGGAACCCTCTAGATCCCTTGAAGGAACCCGATAGATTAAAGGAACCCTATAGATCCCTTAAAGGAACCCCTTAAAGGAACCTTAAAGGAACCCTATAGATCCCTTAAAGGAACCCCTTAAAGGAACTCCTTAAAGTCTCGAAGTTCCGAGAAGAGCTAGGATTCCCAGCAGCTGGCCAGCGACGCATCGCTGCGAGGCGACAGAGCCAAAGCCAGCAGTCTTCCTTTTCGCTTTAGGGTTCCTTTGAGGGATCCTTCAGGGCTGCTTTAGGGTATTGGGTTTAGGATCTTCCTTTTCGCTTTAGGTTTCCTTTAAGGGTTGCTTTAAGGGTTCCTTTAAGGTATCCTTTGAGGGATCTACAAGGGTTCCTTTAAGGGATCCACAAGGGATCTTTGTGGTTTAGGGCTTTCGGGTTTTGGCTTTAGGATCTTCCTGATCCCTGAAAGGAACCTTAGTTCTTCCTTAATCAAGGAATACCATGAATTTCCTTAGAGGATCTGACAGGGATCTATACAGTTTAGGGTTTAGGATATCTTCCTCGGGAACTCTGCCGCCGGGAGGGAGGGTTTGGGGGTGGAGGATTTGGGGTTCAGGGGTTAAGGATCTAGGGATTAGCGTCTAGGGGTTTAGGGTTTACAGTTTAGGGTTTCGGGTACTCTTTCTTGAAGTTGACTGTGACTGACAGGCTTCAGGGTTGGGGTCAGGTATAAAGGGAAGGTTCTGAACAGCTACGTAGGACTCGCCAACAGGGTAGCTTGCATGAAGGTGCTATCGAAACTTATTTTCAGGATTATAACTAAATCGTTACGCCGCCCGTAAAACGGACCAGAAAGTCATGCAAGAATGGAATCAAAAGCAGATCTAGGCCAGGGCTTGGAGTCACAAGGGGTTATCGCGTAAGGTTTGGGGTGGGCTCGCCTCTGCCAAGACCCGCTGCAAAGCTGCCAGATCCGGATCCAGAGGCCTTAGAGTGTAGCTTAGAAACTTAGGGTTTTGGGATTTGGGGTTATTTGGGGATTTACGGTTTAGGGGTTTAGGGTTTAGCTGTTTGGGGTCAGGGATTTGGGGTTTAGTGTAAAACCAAAGCCCCTGCCGCAAGGACGACAGCACAAATCCGAGGCATTCTGGTTCGCGAGAAAAGGCTTCCCCTGTGGGGGGTCTTCACTTCGTAGGTTGGGGGCTCTTCGGGGGGCGGTTGTAAGCTTCTGCAGGGTCTAGGCCAGGGTCCCGGCGCTTTTGAGTTTCGTCTCGTCGTTTTACATTGGTAGCGGAGCCCGGGCCGCTTTCCGGGTCTTTCCTGTAGTGTGTCGTTGTTTCCTTGTCTCGTTGCGTTGTCGGTGAGGGCTTCCTTCAGGGCTTCTTTGTCTCTTTGGGGGTTCGTAGCGCCTACGCGCCAATGGCGTTCTCGGGTGCTGGAGCAAGTAGTCCTACTTCCTACTACAGCAACGCTCCTGCTACGGATCAGAGTGATCAGACTGCTCGGGCTCAGGATCAAGGTGACGGAAGGGTTTGGGATGATTCTTCTTGGAACCGGGGTGATCAATGGGCTTGGCAGGGATGGTATAGACCATACGGCTACCGCTATCACTGGTCTTGGGGTTCAAAGGCCGAGTGGAGTACAGACGGTGGAGATTTCTCCAGCGGATCACCCGGCGAGGGTGATGATGATCAGGGCTCAGGTGGGCGCCAAGATGAGCATCCATCGCACGAGCTCCGCAGTTCCGAGGGCGAGAACACAAGTTACAATCGGAGGGCTTCTTGGAATTCTTCCGGGAAGTGGGCTGGAGACTCATCGACAGGGATCTCTAATTCACATGATGATGGGAACCTGGGGTCCGAGGTCACAGCTACGAAGGGTTCTTTCAGCGAGAGGATGGCAGTTCCGGGATTCGATGCTCAGAGTTCTGCGGAGGAGCTTGGCATGAGCGCTAGGTCTTATCTTCGCCAGGTGGACGCATGGTGCAAGGTAACGAGGACACCCAAACATCAGCAAGCCCTTCTACTCTATCAGAACCTCTCGGGAAGGGCATGGGTTGAATCAGAGGAATTGAGCGTCGAGGATCTCTCGGGCAACAATGGTGTATCAATCTTTCGAGCTTGGATTCAAGAAAGGTATCAGGAAGTCGAAGTGTCAAAGATTGCGGAAAGCCTTATTGCATTCTTTAAGAGGCTTCGTCGCCAATCTGGGCAAACCATCAGGGAATTCAACTCGGCTTTCGATAGGAGTCACTCCCGACTCCTAGAAATCGACTGCCGCCTCCCGGAGGTGGCAAAGGCATGGGCTTATCTCAACGCGCTTAGCCTGAGCAGTTCAGAGGAATTGGCTTTGCTGGCTTCGGTAGGGAATGAGTACAATGTGACAAAGTTGCAGCGCGCAGCAGTGTTGCATGAGAAGTCCCTACGCCCTCCTTGGCAACCCCGGAAAGGACCTTATCAGGACATTGGCGGTAAAGGGCAGAAGGGGGTCAAGGCTTCCTATATGACTGGGGTCGATGAGGTTGATGAGGATGAAGAGGTTTACCAGGGGGCAGATGACGAGGTGCTTGCAGAGGAAGAAGCCGTTGCGATGCACGAGGCGTATGTAGCTCAAGAGACCGCAAAAGCCAGATATCGTGAGGTCTCCAAGGCACGGGGTGTGGATCCTAGTGTGCTGCGAAAGGGTGTCAGTGAGAATCCGGGGAAATCCAACATCGAGGAGCGCCTCGCACAGGCAAAAGCACGATCGTTCTGCGCCGGGTGCGGCAGGCGAGGACGCTGGCACAAGGACAGCACGTGTCCTCTCAACAAACCGGAGAGCCAGCAGCTCGGCAACAAAGGGAATGTCCCTAAGTCCGGCGGGGATCAACAGGCCCATGTGACATCCTCCAGCGGCGATGGGAGCGGATCGGTTGTTCAGGTTGCTTACGAGGTCGGGTACCCGAGTGGCAACAAACTGTATGCAATCACGGACACCGCTTGCAGTAAGTCGGTTATGGGTCAAGGATGGCTTGAATCCTACTTGAAACTGGCGAGGAACGCGGGCCTGGAAACCCAGTTTGTGAACGCCTCGGACGATTTCAGGTTTGGTGCTTCGAAACTCTTCCGAGCTACCTACACAGCAACCATCTTGATCGAGGTTGGCGGTAAACCGTTTGCGGTCAGGGCTTCGGTGGTCGAGGGTGAGGTTCCGCTCCTTCTCAGTCGGAAGGTCCTGAGTGTTTTGGGCATGGTGTACGATGTCGATGAGAACACGGCACGGTTCAAGCACCTGGGAGTCGACAACATCATGCTTTCGACCACTGACAATGGCCAGCCCGCCTTGATCGTGAATCCGAGGGTAGGTCATAATCCCAAGTTGCCGTCACCCCAAGAGTGGGCTGATGATGAGGTGAAGCTACTCCCTCTCGCCAGGAAGCAATACATGGTGCATACATCTCTCATGACCTCGTCTCGCGATCTTGAGGTCGAACATCAACATGTTAGCGGAGGTGTAGATAGCAAACTTCCCTCGCGAGGACCGCTGGCGAGTGTGACTCCAAGACTATTTTACCCCAAGAAGATCAACCCGACTATCCGGAATCTCTTGAGTGCCACAGCTCTTAATCATGAACTGTTTGCAGCTTGGTGGAGTCGAACCCCTATTACCAAGGACTTCTGGATACACCAAGTGCCTTTGTGAGAATCCATGTAGTCCCTAGAAAAGGACTGTTCGACCCGAGCCAATGGAGCACTGATCAGAACCACATCAAGGAGATGCTTCTTGACGCCATCGGGGAGATGAGGTGCACCTCGGCAATTTCATGTGGGAGTTCGCATGCGTTACATCAAGTGCATGACGCATGGAGAGGGGAAACGAGTTCACAACATCCAGTTCTATGGGTCGGCAGGACTGTTTTCTCCCGAGCCTCCTGTAGCACTCCTTTTGAACACTCCCTCTCGAATCCTGCGGTTGCTCCTCCCGAAGATGGCCTCCTCATCCGAGACAACGGGGAATGTGTGGCACATGACGAAGGCGCAGCTCATCTCGAAGGCGATGGGCATGGGGATCACGATCCACCAATCTTGGAGTGTGGGCGAAGTTCGCCAGCTTATCCAGGAGAAGAAGAAGGCCATGGGCGAGATCTCAGAGATCCCGAAAGGGTTGGCATCCATGAACAAAGCCCAGCTCCTAGAGCAGTGCCGGTTGTTGGAAATCGAGGTGCCCGAGAAGGCGACGAATGGCCACTTTACCCTCCTCATCCGGGACTGTTGCACCAGGAACAAAGGGGACGCGGTAGTGAGTTTCGGGCGGCACCGCGGCAAGTTGTTCCGGGAAGTACCCCAGAGTTATCTCCGTTGGGCTATGGCAGAGGTAAAGGAGCGGGGTCCAGAAGGGTCCAGTCCGGACCTTGTGAGCTTGAGCAAGTACGCGGCGCAAATCCTCCAGGAGATCCCCGAGGTGAACAACAAAGATCCGGAAACGAACTCCATGGTGCCAGTGCCGCAGGACTTGGAGTCGGTGGTGAGCTGGGGATCCGAGGGGTGGAGCGAGTTGACTCCCGAGGCCCGGAAGCTCAACGGCCAGGCGAACTCAAGGCAGGTGCCGATGGCTGCGCCGAAGAGCGCTATGCGGTCTCCATCGGTGAAGCGGACTACGGATCATCAGGGCGAGCCCGGGAAGGCGATGATGAATCAAGATGTGCCTCCGGAGGTGAAAAAGGAGATCGACGAGCTGATGGCAAAGGTGGCATCGCTAAAGGATCGCTACAATCTCTAAGTGGGGACGCTCATGGGGGCGATAGCTCTGAGGATGAAGACCTTCAGAGCGAACCGGATTTCGAGGTTGAGACCCAGGAGATCCATGTCCTCCCCGGGGTACGTGATGTGGAGATTGCGTCAGGGGAAGTCTTCTATGAATGCCGAAACGGCGACTTCAGTACAGATGCTGGGGTCACCAAAGTCTCTAGCGAACATCGTGCGCGAGACCTTCTTCGCAGAAAAGACTTCAGCTTCGAAGCATGTGAAGGGCTCCTCATTGACGTGTGCGAACACTGTCAGGCCAGTAGAAAGCGCAAGATCATGGATGGGATGTGCAGTGTGGCCTTCGGGGCCTATTCCCATGGGAACCACTATGGGGTGATCCGGCGCACGTATCAGCATTGGTACGTGACGAAGTGTGTGAATGCCTTCATGCGTTTCCATGGTGCCAAGGGTCAGTGGAGTAGTGTGCAGTTGTGTTTCAATTGTCATGTCGGTCCTCACAAAGATGTTCACAACCTCGGGGACAATTGGACTATTTCCTTTGGGGACTTTGAGGGCGGACGTCTTTGGCTAGAACACAACGACCCAACCAAGGTTCCAGACGCCATTGAGTCCCGCGAGGCGATCCTTGCCGACGGCTCCAAGGCGATCGGATGCTTGGTTGATACAAGACATAACATGTACAAGTTCTGTCCCAAGCGAAAACATGCCGTAGAACAATGGACAGGGAATCGTTGCAGTATCATCGCCTATGTCACTCGTGGGATTGGTGAGCTTAGCAGGCCCGAACGTGATGTTCTTAGGAGCTCCGGTTTCCCTTTGGGCAGGAGTGAAGGTGCATGTGCTTGGGAGAAAGAGCATGAGACGAGGCCGAAGAAGAGCATTAGGAAGAACCTTTGGAAGGGAGCTCGAAGGGCAAGTTCGCTCCTCACTCTCAGTCTCGCAGCGGCATCGTCGTTCATCTCAGAAAATATACCCTTCGGAAAACCACCACATCAGGCATGCCTCTTCGAGATCGGCGGCAATGAGTTGACGCTGGACATGATCGAGGCGGGTTTTCAGGCCATCGAACCTCTCAGCTGGGGCGACTATGTTGATACTAACCATGCTCTGAAAGTGACTGACATGATCAACAATCTTAAGCCCAATGTCGTATGGTTTCAAGGTTGTGATGAGAGCAACAATTTCATTGAGCAGATCGTGGCCACTGCCGGACAGCAGCTAGAACATGGAGGTTCTGTTGTATATCATGCCGACAAGAACGATCATGTCTGGGAGAATAGGACCATGAAATGCTTCATGAATGAGAACACTCATCTTCTAGAAGACCAAGGTGAAGCGTGGCTTCTTCGTGTAGGGGGAGTATTTCATGATACCGGAGATTCCGGCGGAGAATGCGGCGATCCTGAACATGAGGCGCATGTTGTATCCCACGATGATAAGAAAGATCGACACGAACCCTTAGGTGCATCAGCTATTCACTTCAACAAGAATGTGCCGAAGCATGTCCAGGCTGCGTTGACCAGGCTACATCAGAACCTAGGGCACCCAAAGATCACTGACCTAGTTCGTCATTTGAGGTTCGCCGGTGCTGACGATGAGGTGATCAAGGCCTGCAAAGGGATGCGATGCGAAGTTTGCGATCGAAACCAGAGGACCGGGAGCGCTAGACCGGGGGTGCTACCTTCACTTCTAGACATGAACCAAGTGGTCAGTGTCGATGTCTTTTCGGTCTTCGACTCGGATCGTGTGCGGCATGAGTTTCTTTCAATCATTGACCACGCCACTACATTTCACTTGGTGTGCGAGCTTGAGGGTCACTCTGGCGAGGATTTCTGTAGGCAGTTCACCCAACTCTGGGGAAACGTTTTCGGGGCTCCTGGGACAATCTCAGCGGACTTAGAGAGCGGGCTCCAGCTTGGAGTTTCCAAGTATGCGGAGTTCCACGGGTGCCGGGTGGGATCCTCAGCCGGACAAGCACACTGGCAACAAGGGGTAATCGAGAGACCCGGTTACTGGTACCAGGAGATACTCCAGAGGGTCATTGATGAGAAGTCCATCACGAGTGACGACATGTACATGGCGGTCCAGGCGGTGAACAGCGCTACTTAGGCGGCCGCTGTGCTTATAGCATATATAACATGAACTTATAAATGTGCTATCAGGGATTATAACATACCTGAGGTTATGTTATACATGAGGTATTTGAGTATATTCCCGTTATAAGTCATGCAAAAGTTATATATTGGATGTAACCATTTGGGTGCGTTATAACTGCACTTATGGGGTCCTCGTAGATCGCGATTATAAGTACCACGTGGCAGTTATAACTGGGCTGCGAGGCACCCCCCAAATACCGATGTAGACGGACCGAAAACCCGCCGTGCATCCATTTTTGCTGCCCCCGGAGAACCGACGTAGATCACCCGAAAACCGCCCGTTGCTTTTCCCGAAATCAGAAAGCAACACTCCGCGGATCCAATTTTTGCTTCCGAATCAGAAAACAACCCTGCATGTTTCCGCCGAAATCAACCGACCACGCATGTTTTGGAACATGCAGGCAACACCACGACGTACACGATTCTTCAACGATATAGGAAGCCCCCGCCCCGAAAACCGCACTTTTTTTCAAGTTCATTTTTTGGCCATCGCCGGGAACTCGCTTTTCATCTCCGGAAATCATGTTTACATCCAAGCCAATATACCATTTGTTTTCCGCCTCAATATCATTCTTATCATTTATCCGGTTCATGTTTTGTGCTGTCGCATGCCCGCAGGGCCGTCGCTCCGGACGAACCGCGACATATGTGGCTCCACTGCGAGGCTCGCCCGCAGAAGAAGCAGCCATTTTGGCTGCAAGAAGGGCAGCAAACAAACACTGCAGCACGCACACTCTCAGCCACACAGAGGCAGCACACTCTCAGCCACACAGCAACCAAACACCCACACTCTCAGCCACACAGAGGCAGCACACTCTCAGCCACACAGCAAGCAAACACCCAAGACTTTCAGGCACGCAGCCACGCAGACAGCCACGCACAGTCAGCAAGCGAAGCACAGTTTTCCGAGGCTTCGCCCGTTTTTGACTTCGAGGCTTTGCCCGAAGGAGTGCAGAGGCGTGGCCCGCCTTCCATGGCTCGGCCGGACCGTCCAGGAGTCCTGGGCCACATAGGTCCCTTCCCTGTGGAGGCAGGGACGCTGACCTTCCGAGACCGGGAGGAGATCCGCCAGGAGACTGGGTGCACGGTGGGAGTGCGCGGGCGGAGTCAGTGGGGCTCGAGTGCCTCACGGTCTGCGGACCGCCTTCAAGGCTGATGGCGGCGAAGGAGATGGCGGAGCAGAGGATCGCCAGCTCCGTGGGAGACGCGCGGGCGCCGAAGCCAAAGGGCCCTGCGCATGGTCCCCCTTTTGGACCACTCTCAAAGGCGGCCAACAAGGGCAAAGGCAAGGGCCCAGCCAAAGGCGCCTTTGAAGGGCCGCCGGCGCCTAAAACGCCGCCGGCAGCGCCAAGGCCGCAGCCAATGGCTGCCCCGGCACCCATGCCGGGGCAGAGTAACGGGGAACTTGCGATGCAGCTCCACATCGCACTCACCAGGATCTCGACGCTGGAGACAAAGTGCGCTTCATGAGAGCCGCTTGCGCAAGGTCGAGGCCGACCTGTACTGGCAGGAGCGAAGGCCGCCACGCACACGCAGCCGCTCGCCTCCCGCAGCTGCCAGCAACAGCGGCCAGCCAGCGCCAGCACGCTCACGCTCCCAGAGTGCTGGCAGTGGCAGCTCCAGCAGCCAGCAGGAGTCACCGGCCTCCAAGGACCGTTGTTTTACCCTTATAAGACCCCTATATATATATATATATATATACACATTCTATAAACCCATACATATATATATATATATATTTGAGAAGGCTCGCCTCTCAAAGTAAAGATATAAATATGTATATAAATTCATATGTAAATTTGAAGGCTCGCCTCTCAAAGTGTGTATTGTGCACGCAGGACGATGCCGGGGCAAGCAAGATCGCCCAGAAGGAGGACCGGCAGCCGAAGGCGGAGGAGGAAAGCTCGTCTTCTTCGCCAGCCCAGGAGCCGGAGCCTGTGCCGGCTGCAGAAGCAGCAGCTGCAGAAGCACCAGCTGCAGAAGCGGCAGCTGCAGAAGCAGCAGCTACAGAAGCGCCAGCTGCAGAAACGCCAGCTGCAGAAGCGCCAGCTGCAGAAGCGCCGGAGCCTCCGGTGCCCAAGACTGAGCCCAAAGAGGAGGCGGCTGAGGCATCGCCCGGCCCTGACTTTCAGGCCTCCGCAGAGGAGGAGCTGGTGGCGCCTGTTCGGGAGACGGCAAGCCCGACCTCGGAAGCAGAGGGCGAGCAGGAAGAGGTGGCGGTGCTGGACACCTTGAACCTGACTTCCAAAGCATCGGCTCCGCCGCCGCATCCTGAAAAGGGCTTTCCGTATCCCTTCACGCAGTGACAGCTCCTTGAAGTTTAGCCCTAAAGCCTTAAAAGAAACAGCTACAAGCTCTAAAAGGCCGTGAAGGGTTTCGGGAATTGACGAGGCTTGCCCGTCCTTGCACGACTCGAAGTCTTTTGCAGAAGAGAAAAGGCAAGCCAGATCCTCGAAAGGTTTGAAAGATGCAGGCCTGCACATTTCCTGGACCACTTCTGTTTGCTCGAATAAAACCCACGATTCGAAACTTGAGAGTTTGTTCGCCATCTCAAGCTTCTCCAGCGACCAGTATACAGGTATAGCTAAACAGACTGACTCCTCAAGCAGCTGAAGCAGGTTGGCCCCTCCGTAAACCCTATAAACCCTAAACCATAAACTCTAAACCCTAGACCCTAAACCCTATGCTTGAAAAGAAGATTCCAAATATATGTGATAAGTAAAAAAGAAAAAGCTGGCAAGGCTTGCCTGCCAGCAGAATCTCGAGGCATGCCCCAAGCTGTCAAGGCGTGCCTGACAAGCCATGAGGCTGCCATGACTTTGCAGCCGCTCAAGCGAGCCAGGGCTGCTTCAGCAGGGACGCTGGCCGACACTGTTTCCTTCTCGGTTTTGGCACGGAGGGAACATGATGAAGGCCAGCTGCGAACTGAGCGCCGCCGTATAACGGATGAAGTGCTGCAGTTTCTGGAGAGCCCTGCTTGCCCCTGCGGTGAGCTGCTGCAGCATCTCCAGCTCACCCTGGTCGGCGGCAAGAAGGAGGAAAAGTATGGGTTTCACTGGCACTTCGTGCAGCCCATGGCCCTCCTCTTCTTGCTGACAGAAAGGGTGCCCAGCTTCGGGGACATGTTGCAGCGGATCATGGATGAGAAAGGCCGTTTGAGGATAGGCCTTTATTCCGACGAGACCAAGCCTGGCAACCCGCTTCGACCGGACCATGGGAGGGCCCAGGTGTGTTTTTACTTCACCTGTCTGGATTTGCCCGACTGGGTGAGGTGCCAGACAGGTGCCTGGTTCCACTTCAGCGCCTTTCCGTGCAAGCTGCTCTCCGATGTCCCTGGAGGCCTTAGCCATCTTTTCTGTAAGACAATGGATGTATTCTTTGGTGAGCACTTTCGGTGGAACTTCAAGACTGGGTTTCCGTTGAAGTGCAGCAAAGGTACCTTCCTGGCCCAGGGATCTTTCGAGTGTTTTGTCGGGGACGAGAAGGCCATCCGGGAAACCTTCAGCTTGCGTGGAGCAACGGGCACAAAGCCCTGCTGCCACTGCATGAACGTGCTGGGTCACATGGACAAGCACAGTGTGACGGTACCGGGCCTTGTGCACTATAGCTGCGACGACCCCGGCAAGTTCGTGTTACACAGCAGCCAGACCTTTCGAACAATGTGTCAGAAGCTGGAAATTGCGCCCAAGAAGGATCAAAAGAAGCTGGGCCAGCTTTTCGGCCTCACCATGCATCCAAATGCCGTGCTGTTTTGTGCGCCGTGGAAGGACAGCGTGGACTGCGTTCAGCATGTGTATTGGGACTGGATGCACATTCTTTGTGCCAGCAGTGGCATGGGCCAATACGAGGTCGTGTCTTTGGACATGCTTGATGAGTATGCCCAACAATGGCGGCTTCCGCAAAGGACCAGCAACCTTTGCAAGGGTTTTTTTGCGGAGAGGCTGAACAAGGAGCCGGACAGCTGCTTGAAATGCTTCGCAGGCGAGCCCCTGACGGCTGTTCTTATTCTGGATGCTCTACGGCAGGATGTCTTGAGGCATGTTCCCGAGACTGCGGAGCACTGCAGATGCCTGGCACTGCTGGCCAAGATTTTCCGTATTCTTGGCAGCGGAGACAGGGTGGTGCAGCAGTTGCAAGAGCTGCGCAGATGCATTGCAGAGCATGCCCGCCTCTTCCGCCGGCTTTATGAGAACTGCGTGAAGCCCAAGTTTCACTGGGCTTTCCATGTCCCCGGCTGCATGGAAAAGTTTGGGGTGAACATGTCATGTTTCGTGACAGAATCTCGTTTGCATTTGTGTTTGTTTATACTTATATATATATGTATATAAAAGTTGGTTTATATAAGTGTTTAGGTTGGGACCCATTATAATTATCAAATATAAGGAGCACAAGAACGCGGTCGTGAAGAGTCTGGCCACCATTGCCAATGGGAGCCATCTGCAGCAAAACCTGAACATGCGGGCCGCCTACAGCAACGTGAGCCATATACTGCAGAACCCGCTCTTCTTCAGTGAGGTCGGCTTGCGCGAGCCTGTTCGGGACCTGCCTTGGGCAGTGGCTCTGTTGCACAGCGTGCTCCCTGGAGTTCAGCAGGTGAAGGCCGCGAGATTTATGAAAACAGCCAAGGGCACGATCGCTGCGGGAGATACAATCTGGAAGCCCGGCACGGCCGAGGTCATGGTCGTGGACGAGTGCTTGCAAGCTGCGTCGTTGGATGGCGCACAATGGTTGGGCTTTCATGGTGTTATTTGCAATCAAGTGGGACCTGACCTCTTCGAGGCCTCGGAAGAGCGGGGCATACGTGCCTGGAGCTCTGAGCACGAAGCTGTGCCTGTCAAGCTGAGGCTGCGGATTCTGCAGATCTATAGGCCTGGCAGCTGAAAGCAACGCCATGGCGCAGGAGGCTTGCCCCTGCATGCGACAAACGTGGATACAGGGGGTTTTTGCCTCATGGCATGCATGCCATGCATGCAGACTGTCTGACTCCTTTGCGAAAAGAAACAGTTTCCGTGAGTTCATTATCAGGTCCTCCTGAAAGCTTTCGAGAGCATGTGTTGCAAGACAATTGATTCATGTTCCGCCTTTTTGACACGAGCCGGCTGTATAATGCCGTTTTTCGAGAGTGTTCTGCAGGACGAAGGCAGGGCCGTCATCCTCCGGCTTCCGGGCCGGAACGCAACCATGGAGAACATGACAATTCGGCATTGCTTCGCTCTTCAGCGCAATGCAGCGGTGGCTCGGCACCTGCTGCGCAACCATGAGATGGCGGCCCCAGCTCCCCAAAGCCTGCGGTCCGGCACCACAACGGTACAAATGCCAGGAGCAGGTCCGGGAGCGGCTGTGGGTGGCGCATGAGGACCAGCGGCTGCAAAACGTTGTGAGGCTGGCTTGAGGCTTGCCCAGGCATGAAAAGCTGTGAGGCTGGCCTGAGGCTTGCCCAGGCATGAAAAGTTGTCATGGTCTAGTGCTCGCTGTTGCTGGTGTTGGGTTGGGTCGCTGCTTCTTTTTTGGCCGCTTTTGCTACCCCTAAGGTCAGGAGGTGGGTGCGTGTGCCCCGTTCGGGGGGCCACGTCCGCCACCTGCCGCTGCTGCTGCCTGCTGCTGGTGCTGCTGCTGTTTTCTGGCTTCTGCTGCTTCTGCTGCTGCCTGGCTTCTTGCTCTGTTTTGGTCCTTTCTTGTCGCGTCTGTTGTGTCCTCTCTGTCTTTGTTGTTTGTCTTTGGTCTGTGCTTGCTGGTGTCTTCTTCGTTTTGTTCGCTGTTGTCGGTGGTGGTTTTGGTCGCTGTTTCTTTGCCTGCTGCTCTTGCTACTCCTAAGGTCAGGGCGTGGGTGCGTGTGCCCCGTCCGGGGGGCCACGTCC